TCTTGAATATTATTGGCGAACCTTCAAAATACTATATTTTTTAATTATTATAAACGTATCTATTTGCGTCAACGTATAAAGATTAAGTGTTTAAGTACAGTCTTGATGTCGTTTTCTTATTGTTTACGAAACAAAAGGTTACAAGCATAGTCCCGAAGAATTTCAATGCGGTTGAACTTCCATCTGTTTTATACTTCCATGTTTGTACTAACAGTCTGAGTTTTCTCATTCGATATACTCTTAGCTTTATATTTTATTCAAAAACTCATTTATAAAAATTAAATAAAAAAATACGAAATCTAATTTCAAACATCTCAAAACAAAAATATTTCTATTCAAGTTTTACATGAACGCATTCAGTGTGACGATTGTAATTATTGTTAATCGTAATTACTTAACTTTGATAAATATCAAAAGTATGCGGTTGTGCCTCCTCTGCGTCCAGTGGTTCTGCCCCAGAGGACAGTTTTTATAAAAAATACAGTTTCATAGCTTGCTTATTAGGTTATGTTATATATATATATATATATATATATATATATATATATATATATATATATATATATATATATATATATATATATATATATATATATATATATATATATATATATATATATATATATATATATATATATATATATATATATATATATATATATATATAACATAACCTAATGTTTGCCACAGCAACAGAATTTTCATAAAGTTCTTCGACTATATGTACGTTCAAATTCAAACAATATTTTATGGAATAACATAATGTCCTAGAGTATTAGGTTTTGTAGACCAAACATGCTGGAGCATATAAAGGAAATTAAGAAGTCGTATTAAAAATAAAGGAGAAAATTGAAAAAGAAATTCTTAACTTATACCCTGTTAAAGTTTTCCTTCCAGGATAAAAAGTATATTATGATAAAATTTAGTTTTGTCTTTTCAATGATTGATGGGGAAATCTCAGTTTACATCACGGATACTTCTTCGACATAATAATGTCCGATTTGCCATGCTACACCTAATATAGTGAGGGATCTGAAAATCTTTGAAAAAGAAAATGTTACTGACGGGCAGGCATTGTGCTATGGCATTTCATCAAAACATGCATGGATTTGGTTATTTTCACATATTTCATATAGACATGAAATAAAAACTTGGAAAGTAAAAAAAAAGTTTTAAAAGATCGATATTTATTGAGAACAAAAATTGTTCGTGATTGGATGTTTAAAGAGATTGGTTTGAGACTTGATGAACCAAAAGCTGGTGGATCAGGAACAAGTAAAACTGCGGCCGCGGTGCAGTGGTTAGAGCGCTTGCTATAGAAGCAGGAGATCCAGGATCGAAACGAACTGTGGACATATTTTCGCGTCACGGTAAGGAAGTAGGTGTGAACTTCCAAGTAAAAGGCACTTCCGCGATGCTCTGTGACAAGATCGTTGGGTCTTCTTTGGGGCTTCTAAATAACAAAACAAAAATAACAAAAAAAGTAATACCGGAAATTTATGTCAACGAATTTTTCTAATACTCTATTACACAGTAAAATTTTAGAAATTGATGAAGATTTTACTATCAAACTAGACGTTTAATCAATTGCAATGACCTAATTGATGCGGATAAAATAAATAAATAATGCAATAATACATATAAGAAATCGTTAGAGACATATGATTGGTTCAAGGCCCTAGCTTCCATTCACAAAGTATTAGCACATGCAGGGAAAATTATCATTAGTTCACCAGTTTTACTTGGTTTAATGGGAAAAGAGGCAGCTGAATTTTGACACAAAATTTATAAGTTTGATTGTGAACACCATGCAAGGAGAAAAAGCAGAAAAACGAACTTATTTGACTTTTTTAATCGAGCTTGATTGAACGAGACATTTTTCAGATCCCTTAATTAGTTCAATCGTTATAATTAAAAAAATAAGAAAGTAATCTAAAAAAAAATAATAAAAGTGTCTACCATAAAAAGTTAAAATTTTCTTAGCAGTTTACAGCGGTGATGTAATTTAAGATTACATATTACAATATAAATTATATCTGACAAAAAATTCTTTATAGATGCCCTCTTCAAAAAAAAAACCTGAATTGATTCAGATAAAAAATGGTGACGTTTGTCATGTTATGAAAGAGCAATGTTACCTTTTCTGATAGAAAAAGTTAATTTGAAGTTATCCAAGAATACATCTTTTCTCTTCAAAGACCTTCAAACATGAGAAGAGTTGATTTTCACTATCTGTACCCAAAGATCAACTTTTTTCTTTCTCACGTCTATGCAAGCTACAAAATCTTCAACTACTGTTTTGAAAAACTCGTGGCAAAAAATGCTTCTTTTCTATCCAAAAATTTCATCTCAGTTGAAGATCTTCACAACTCACAATCGAAAAGTGAAGGAAGCTCTTCTTCAACAAAGCTGCCAATCAAAAAGTAAATGATTGGAAGAAAAAATGAGCCATTTAATAAAAAAAAGATTTTAATTTATAGAAGATAAAAAGATAAAAATCCGGTTATTGCAATAATGGCAAAGGACAACAATAACATTGAGCTTATTCTTTACTTCAAGTTTGGTTTTGATTGCTGTAGATCACTCAACAGTTTTCATCAAAATAACATCAATGATGAGATCCCAGATAGTAGTACCTTAATTGTGAGTCAATTTGTGCCATCACAAATTATTGATGCCAATCGTTCAGAAAGGATAGTGTACCTAAACCCATCTTTAAATTCTGCACAGTCATGTCGGGCATTACAAATTGCATATGAAAAGGAGTCAAAAAAAGCCATTAAAAAATGAGTCTGTTAGGCTTCAGAAGGAATAAACAAAACATTTGCTATGCATTTTGTCAGACATTTCAAGAGTGCAAGTCGCCTACTATGGACTTTAACAATGATTGACGGAAACAAAATGACAGCATCTAACAAAAGACAGACTGTCCAGAATCATTATCATGCTTCTTATATCATAAGCCTTGTGGAAAAATTGACGAGCCAGACGGTGTTTTTACCCCTTGCGCCAGGAGTATCGAGACTTTAGAGCATTATTTTTGCATTTTTGGTTTTGTCATATTGGCTACCGTCAAGATGTAAAAAAATGTCGCAAGCATTTGACACCTGCAGAAAAAGTGGCCATTGCAACCACTTAAGAATGTGTTGAGGCTCAGTTTTCGGAAAGATTGGGAATCAGTGTTGATAAAAGAAGAGTGCTAATGATAATGGTACTGAAACTACTTCTACTGGCAATGTCACCAGAATTGTCTTTGAAAACCTTGCAACTACAGCAGATACTTGCAACGTTCATGTTAAACTTATTGAAAACTTTGCTACCATTTGGGGGCACTGTCAAGTGATTGGCAATGGATTTGCCATCAATTTAACTAAATTTGCTGAGCTTTGCAAAGAAACTAAAAATGTTAATTTTCATCAGGAGAATGAATGTGATTGGCATTTTTTTTACCTTCAACACTTCAAAAAATACTCAAACACAGAAAAAATTTGATTTACAACGGCCCACTTCTGATTATACTGACATGAAGAGGATTCGGGAGGTAATACCAAGTTTCTTAAAAACTTTTGATTGCATCATACCAAGAAAGCTTTATGGACTTAAAGCATGGCTGACATGTTCCACAGACTCACCGATTTAAGCGATCCAAAGGTTTAGGAATCTTATGTCGCAAAACACCAAAGATTCAAAAAGAAGAGGAAAATGCCAGCAAGTGTTATCGACTTACTTGAGTCTGTTGAACCAACCAAACTAGTCACCAGGTTCATGTGTTAATAGTGATTCTGACTAGTTTTTTGAGATAAAAAATATTTTTTGAAAAAAAATTTTTTTGTGACAATCAAAAGTGTAGCGCTTATCAACTTAATATTTAAAAAAATTTTCTTTTTTTTTTGTCACATTTAATTCATTTTTTAAATGGGAAAATCAAATTATTTTTATATTTATTTCTTGAAAGTGTATTAAATTTTAAGCAGCCGTGGCGCAGTGGTTAGAGTACTGGCTCAGAACCCAGAGGTCCGAGGTTCGACGCCAGCTCCAGCCCAAACAGCGACATTGGTACGGAAGGAGGCGTGAACTTCCTATTAAATGCTCTCCCGCGGTGCTCTATGATAAGACCGTAAGGACTTCTGGGAGCACCTAAATACATACAAAAAAAAAAAAATTTTGTGACTTATGCGTTGGAGAAGGAAAATGAATTTATTTGCATTTTTAAACATTTCTGACCACAGTAAGCCGTGGTGTAACGGTTAGAGAAATGGTCACAGAAACAAGATGTTTTGATCCTTTGTTTAACCATTTAAGTAATCTCGAGTACAAAGAAAAGGAGGAGGTGAAAGGAATAAAAGCAAGGGGGAGGTAAATTTTCGCCCAGATTTAATGAACGGAGGATTGGGGTATAATAAAGAGGAGGGGGGGGAGGAGGAATTTTTCCTCTTGCAATCTGACACCATGTTACACTTTAAGAATTTTTAATAAAAAATTTCAATTTATAAATCCAAACTAATATTATCTACAAAACACACATAAAACTATTTAATTCTAGTGTAGCTTGCGGTCAAATTTTTTAATAGCTGTTTTATTTTAATTTCAATAGGATTTAATATGCTGGTATAAGTTTTATACTTTGATAAAAAATTGACCAAAAGTTTATTTCCGACAAATCAAGATTTGCTATTTTTAAAGCCTGAAAGTTTTTGTTTTTATCAGTAACTAAAATAATTATTTTCTAATTTTTAAGGCCGGTTTTCACCGAATTTTTTTTTTAGTTTTTTTTTTCTGTCGATACCAAGTAAAAATTAATAAATGGGGTGATAGGCTTAGGGTAGGTAGGAATGTTTTCCAAAAATCAATAAACGCCTCCCCTTGTTTTAAGGGCTCGAGAGTAATATCGGCAAAGAAGGCTGTTTAAACCTCTTTGTTAAATAACCTTCCTTTGTACTTTGTAATTAGATTTTTAGGTTTAAAGTCTTATCGGACCCATTAACCAAAGAAAACATTAGTAAAGTTTTAAAACTTATATTTGGATGATAAAAATCATAATTTTAGGTTTCGAAAGAATTTTAAGCGACTAGAATCAAAAAAGTAATAACTAATAGTAAATCGTATATTTCATATATCGACGGCTTAACCGCAAACAAGAACTCCACTTTTTTTCCAAAATCGACTTTATTGCGGTATCAGGTTTTCTGACTTCTAAGACATAATTGTACAAATGTGTCATTTTGTTTTTAATAATGATTTTAAAAACATGAATATGAAAAGATAACAATAACAAGCCATTTAAATGTATGGGAATATGAAATACTTTGCGCAGTTTAATTTACTGGAGTTTGTGGATTAAGCCGTCGATATACCAAAAAAGATATTCGCCAAATAGTGTGTGTGTGTGTGCGTAATTTACAAAAAAATAAAAACATCTGTAATAATAAATACAAGATTTATGCACAGCCCTGCATCACAGCACCAGTTTTAACAACATTTGTAAGGAAGCTGATATTTTCTTCGTTTATTTTAACGTTGTTAATACATCCTGAGAACGGCACATAGCCAACTATCGTTAGTTGTTTATCAGCTAAAAAAAGCAATTAATTTCTTGATACACAATTAATAAATGATAATCTAAATTAATGTTAAGAAAAAGAAAACATAAATTAGAATTTTTTTCTTAAGTATTAAACACTTTTTTTGTAAAATATAAAATTACAAAATAACCCACCTGGTAACCCTCCAAAGTAAAACGAAGATGTTGTATCGGACATGCTTTGCGTTGAGTCTGATATTGTGCTGTTTGTCAAACCACCCATGCTTAGAGTAAGCGTTCTTCCTTTTTTAACTAATTCTATACTATGAAAATTTCCTGAACAGATTGAAGTTGGTGGGTCAAGAACTACACTAAACTCACCACCTCCGTTATTGCATCGGGCGGCAATAACACCATCATTCTTTATTTGCAAGCTCAAAAAATCAGATCCGCCATAAACATAGAAGAGATATCCAGCCTTACGGACAGATTGAACATCCAAAGATAACTTGAAATCCGAAGCCACCTTTTTAGTTTTAGTCTCTGAATAATAAATATAATTACGGTAATTAATATGTTTCTTATCAGTAGTCAGCAGCCGCAGCTTACCCAGCACCCACAGAACGTCTAGAAGACGCTGTACATGTTTTTACCTACTGGGTAATTATCAAAATGTTAAAAAAAAACTCACTAGATTTGGCTACAAATCCACCTTTGTCACCAAAATGGATGCCGCTTACTATTGTTAAACCATTTGAAGCATTCGTCGTGCCAATAGAAAGAGCAGGCACTAAAGCCTCGTTAAACAATTTAAATCCTCTCATGCCTCCCTTAAATGGATCTTGACTTTTCAACTACAAAATAAGAAAGCAAAATAAGGCACTGTAACTATAATATTTATATGTATAATATTTATATTAATATTTATAATATAAATATTACCGTTATATTATTATATCATTTAACAATACTCAACAAATGCAATAATAGTCTACACGTTTTTAAAACATCAACACATGAAGTTTAAAACACGTCATGAGCAGTGATGGATCCAGGATTTTTTGGTGTTTGAGGTAAGCTAACTTCCCGACATGGAGCAAATTCCAAACTTGTGTATGTTTATACTTATGTCAAATAATGAGGCTTTGCAAAAAATAGAAATGATTGAAGGCTGGGAACGAAAAAGTAACATCATCCTCCCCCACCCCAAACATGAGGGGAAACAAGTTGATAAAATATTTTTTATACTTTTCTCAACTAGACTTATATTCATCGATATATGGTTAAAATTTGTGAACGCTGAGAGGCAATACTCTGAAACTTAAAATTTATTGATGAATATAAGTCTAATTGAAAATAGTACAAAAAATATTTTATCAATTTGTTGCCCTTTACGTTTTTTTTTGTTTTGTTTGTTTGTTTTTTTTTTTTTGGGGGGGGGGGAGAGAAATAAAGTTAAAGGGCTTTTTTGTTCCCAACCTCCAATCATCTCCAACACCAAAAAATCCTGGATCCGTCAATGGTCATGTGTTGACTTTAAAACTAGAAAACCAGAAATCAAAATCAAAATATGTAACTATAATATTTATGTGATGTCATTTAATAATACTCAATAACAATTACAATATTTGAGTATAAAAATAATAACAAATTAAATAACAATTACAATATTTGAGTATAAAAATAATTTGAATTTTTTTTTTTTAAATCACTTTTAGTTTTACATAACAAGATTTAAAGTTAAAATTTTAATAGTTATTTAACAAAATTAATTACGCTTTTAATATCAAATACAATTTTTTTTTGCAAAAATTTTTTTTTTTGATGAAACATTTTAAATTAATTTCTTTCATTATTGCAAAAAATTTTTTTTTAGAATTACTAAAATGCATTTAAAGTACCAAAATGCATCAGTTGCAAAATCAATTGCAAAAAACAAAATTTCATATTTTTCTGAGCAATACAACGACAAAAGATATATCTTGAATTTTTGCTAGTTCGCAAAAAAAATATTTGGAATTGAACTCTTTGAATAGTACTATTTCAGTAAAACAACTTTTGTAGGGCATATCGGGACATATATTTATATAATTGAATATAATATTACCCATAATGCTGTTTATAATTTGATGATTTTAGATTTAATCTAAAATGTTACTTTCCTTATTTAGAAAAATATTATTTTTATAACTTAACTTCGATTAATAATGTTTAAGGTAAATAACGATGGTAAGAAATTTTAAAAGAAAAACCAATCGCCGAAAATGGGATGAAATGCAGTTTTAATTGCGAGTAAAAAGGAACTTAGAATTAGAAAAATGACTAATAAATATGGCATAACTAAATCTGCTCAACAATGGTATATTGCTAATATATCGGCTAATCAAAAATGCTGCCGAATAGTTTCGGGATATATTTTGTGTGATTTATGTAATCCATAATATTTTTTGTTTAATTTTGAATTTAGTAGTAGTGACAAATTTAATATTATATAATAAATAATAATTAATAATATATATCAAATATTAATCAACAATGTATAATAAATAATAACATATAATAATATATAATAAATACTAATATATAATAAACAATAATTGATAATATATAATAATATTTCATAATATAAAATAAATAATAATTAATCATAGATAACAGATAATAATTAATAATATATAATAAATAATAATATATAATAGATAATAATTAATAATATATAAAAAGTAATAAATAACAACAAAAAGTAATATATAATAATACCTACTTAATTTTTAAAACATTTTCTTAAGTTTGTTTGTTATAGAAGATTTTATAATAAAACACAAAAAGCTTTTTTTATTTAAAAGTTTATTATTTTTATTTTTTTGTGGTATATTTTTTTGTGGTATATAAGTGTAATGGCGTTTATATGGGTATGCTACTTTTTTGAGAGTTTAATGTCTGAACATAATTATATGCAAATGTGTGCGTGATTTATTAAAGTTTTTTTTAACGTCAGTTTAATTAATAAAGTTATCAAAAAACAGTAGGTTTATTAAACTACAAAATTTTCTTAGCGTCCGTTTAATTAATGAAGTTATCAAAATACAAAAATTTTATTAAATAAACTATATTTATAGTTATTCAAAGAAGAAATTGGATTTACATAAACTCAATTAGAATGATAAGTCTGATAAAGAATATGTAAGTTGAAATAATAGAAATAATTTGTTAAAATATACTAATTGTTTTTTTAATTAGAACTTATGTAAAGATCATGACAAACTACGCAGAATTCAACAGCACAAATCCCATATGGAGACATTACCTAAAAGGAACAGATGAAACAGCCATGTGTAAGGTAAGTACATGCAAAAAAGTATTGAAAATCGCTGGTGGTTCAACAAAAGGTCTACATTCTCATTTACTGTCCATACATAAACTTAAAGTAACGTCGCAATCTCAAGCACCAAGTTCATTCGCGACAACTTCGACTTCAAAAGAATTAGAAGAACCTCAAAATAAAAAACCGAAAATCACAAACTATTTTTCAACAACATCAAAAAATCAAGAAAGTCTCTCTGAAGTTTATGCACGTATGGCAGCAGATGGAATATCATTTAGTACAGTTTGTAATTCTATTGATATACGAGCTGGGTTAGTTGCACGTGGCTATAAAAATGTCCCAAAATCACGTAATACTATTAGAAAAATGGTTTTAGACTATTACGAGCAGATTAAAAAACAAGTTTTAAAGGAAATAATTAATCAAATATCAAGAGGCTCTAAATTTTCCTTAACGCTCGATAAGTGGACTTTTTTTGGAAACTGCAGATATATGAATGTGAATGTACAAGAGTTGAAAAGTTATTGGAATTTAGGTTTGATTCGCATTTTAGGGTCTATGCCAGCGGAAAAGTGCGTTTCACTTCTAATCGAAAGGTTTTGCAACTTTAAAATAAAACTTGAGGACGATGTCATAGTCATTACGACTGATGGTGCAAGCGTTATGAAGAAACTTGGAAAAATTCTAAAAATAGATCAACAACTATGCTTTGCCCACGCTCTACAGCTAGCAGTAATATCAGTTCTTGACTCTAGTCCATTGGAAGTTGATGAAAGTATAAATGATGAGAACGCTGCCTTTGCAAATTTAGAGCATAAAAATGATGAAGAAAAATATGATGATTATAATAGCGATATAAATGATTAATTGCTTATTAATGAAACATCTGAAGTTAAAATTAAGCACCAAATTATTAAACCCGTTATAACTAAAGTCAGGAAAATTGTAAAAATGCTTAAAAGATCTCCAAGCAAAAATGAAAATTATTTACAAAAGTACGTAAAAATTGAGTTTGGAAATGTCATTCATTTAATCATGGATTGCAAAACCCGATGGAGTAGCTTGTTGCTTATGCTAGACCGATTTGAGAAGTTGAAATATTGTATTAAAAAGGCATTTCTAGATTTAGAATTGGATTCCAGCATTGATGATTCAATTAAGATGAATGAAAATGAATACAAAATAATATCTGATTTAGTAGTACTTTTGACTCCTGTTAAAGCAACTGTGGAAGCACTTTATCTATGAGATGCAACTTTAATTTCGGCTGATATTGCATTAGAGTTCATGTTGACAAAAATAAAACAGCAACAATCTGAAATTGGAAAACAATTATATGATGCTTTGAGTCGCCGAATTAAAGAGAGGAGAACACCGTTAAGCAGCTTAGTTTATTATCTTCATAATGGCCAGTTTACTTCATCAAAAATGCCAGAAGTTTTTGTTCCAAATACAAGTACCCAAAATAAAAAAATTTTCATAAACCTGATAAAGCGTTTACTTTTTGGCAAATATAATAACAACCGCAGACTCGACTAGCGATGTTCAGTTAAACCAGGCTTTATCAAGCCACAAATGTGATAATAACGTCAAAAACATTAGCGAACAATTAATGGAAGTTATGGAAAAAAATTGGCAACAATACGAACACCACCTATAAGGGTAGAAAGTATATCTTCTAAAGTTCAAAAAGAAATGTTGTTATTTGAAAGTGGTAGCACAAAAATCAATCACCTTAAAAAAACATATTATTATATGCTAACCATACGGCCAACAAGTGTGGAGTCTGAACAAGCATTCTCCGCCGCTGGGTTTTTATGTTCAAAAAATCGAACACGATTAAGCGACGAAATGATTGACACTTTGAGTTTTTTAAGGTGGTACTTTCAAAAAAATATATAACTCATGTATGATCCTGCATTTTTATATCATTTTTTAATTATTAATTTTATTTAGGGTATTGTTTTATAATCTAAAATACTGTTACTTTGGTTCATTAATTTTTAAATGTTATCATCTTAGATAAGTTTTAATATAACAAAATTAAGTTAAAACATCAGATGTTTAAACTTAATTTTATGTTCATTAATAAATTAAATATTTTAGTTATATTATCATTAAATTAATCATTTTTAAGTGTTTGATGAGTACTTAAAAAGTTCTTATTATGCTTGTCTCTTTTAACAGTTACGTTTTTTTTATTAAATCCTGGGATTTCCCAGGGACTAATTTCTCAATCCCGAAATCCCGGGATAGAAAATTTCCGGGATTTTTGCTATCCCTATCTATAACTGTTCCGTTTTGCCTCACCAACTTGCAAAAAGTGAAAATTTTGAAAAACTTGTTTTTTCTTTTTCTTATATTAATGAACTTTAAAAAATTTATAAAAAGTACTGTTAATTATGATAAGTTTATCTGCAATTTAATTCTTAAGTGTCCCTTTATGCTCTGCTCTACGTTGCAAGGTATTAAAAATAATGTTTTAAATAAATTTAAAAAATATTGTTAATAACCAAACACTTACTACACCAAAACCTCTTTCTCTCTCAACACCAAAAAATATTTCAAAGCATATTTAAATGGCTATACCATATATTTATTCATGTCCATTTTTTTAGTTATATTTTATATTCTATAGTTATTTTACATTTTTATTTTTTAAGTTATGTTTATTTATGTGCATACACAAATATTCATTACCTTAAAATCAAAATTAATATAAAATTACCTAAAACCTAGAAATGTATGATACTTGTGGATGATAATAGTGGATTATAATGGTGGATGATAACAGGGGATTATAATATCCCAATGTATTAACTTATTTGATATAAAAAAAAAACATACATTTGACTGTTTTGGCAACGCTGTTCCTTTGGGGTAACCACCCATCCACACTTTTTGTATTCCATCTACAGATGTGGCTTTTAAGACTTGGCCTTCTTTCAATACACCATCATCAATCCGAAGATAAGCTAAATATATATATATATATATATATATATATATATATATATATATATATATATATATATATATATATATATATATATATATACATTGTACTGTAATTTTTTAATAATAACATGTTTTGTACAAGTTTATATTCATTACTTTTATATTTAAACATGCATGTAATAACTTTATGTTGAGGAGATTTTTTATATATTACCTATTTGTATTTATTTTTAATTTGTGGCATCACAATGTTAATCAATTAATCAACAAACTTAAACAAATATAAACTGGTATTAGTAACATTCTCTTGAGCATTAATTGCAGTCATGTTACTGGGGCTTTATGTACTGTGTTTATTTGTTTCACAGTTTTATACAATAGAGTTATTTTCTGTGCAAAAGTAACAGCCCTTATTAATGCTAAAACATTTTTCAAACTTCAAAAAATAACAAAGATTAAAGGTTTCTGAAGCTAGCATACAATGAATAAAGAAGAAAGTTATGTTAAGAGGCATATTTAACTCAAATTAAATTTTAAAAAAAACCCATCAGAAAACCTATTTTTACTCCAAGGTCAGAAAGCTGTTTAAGGAAACTTTTCTGGATGACAGATATGCCACCATAAGTTGATGTAAATGTTTATGAATGATGTAACTGCTTCTTAGCACTTCTAGAACTAGCTTCTTAGCATCCTGCTAGGAAGCCCAATATAACAGCTACAATTAAAAAAAAAGCGTCTAAAATGACCAGAACAGTAATAGAGATGTGTACTTTTCACAGATTTGCTTCAGAGATGAAATTTTGCACAACTTGTACATCTTCACCATGGTCATCGCCAAGTAATGATCTGTTCAGTCATCATGGTAGCAGGCACCGAATGTCTGTACATGTTAAAAGGAAAAATGAGACTAGATTAGTAAAAAGAAGTCTTACATAAATTGTTTAATTCGTCAGTTTAGAGAATGGATTCCAAATAGGGAAATAAAAAAGTCGGTTAAAGCTAAACTTTGGAAGAACAAAAGCTATACTTTGGAAGAAAAAAATATCCATTTCTAAGATTGGCAAGGTAATAGCCCAGATATGAACCTTATTTAAAGCATGCAGGAGTAGTTAAAGAGAGAAAAAGCTTAAGATTCTATCACAAACAAAACTCTTGAAAAATATTATTTTAATGTAGAACCATCATTCTAAAACGTAGAAGACAACATATTTTTGAATTGCATGCAGAACTAAAGTTCTAATAGCAGTTAAAGGTGGCAAACAGAGTTACATTTAATTGCTTTTAATTTTTTTCAAGAGTAAATAAACACATATTTTTTCTATAACTATAATGTTTTATTCGTGTTAAAAAACAGGTAATAATGGTGAACAATAAAAAAACTATTTGTATTCGTTTTTTGCAGAATGAATTTTTTCTGAAATTGTTAAATTTTAATAAGCAATTGTTAAAATTTCTTAAGATTTCCAAGTCAGATTTGCATCACTAAAGAAACAATGAATTTTTCACTTTTTCTTCTTTTAACAAGAGGCTCTTTCTGTGTGTTTGTATATATACATACATATAAATTATATTTTTAATAGGGTTGCAATAACCATGAAAAACATTGAAATACAAAGTTAGAAGCAAATAAAAAGGTTTACAAATAGCTTTTTCTCTTTTTTGATATACTTTATGCCATTTTCCATCATTGTAAGCTTCATCAGATGTTATTGTAACTGGTCCAGCGCCTGCATTAAAAAGGTAATTTACTTTTCCGTCTTTCATAAAGATTGCTTCATAATCTTGGTCTTTCATGTTTACAGTTAATAGTAAACTGTTTGGTTCAACAGTGTAAAAATAAAACTCAAATTCTGAGCTGAAAATTCATTAAAAAAAAAATAAATAGTAAAAACAAATTAAAAAAATACTAAATATCAAATATATTATTAAAATAAAAAAAGAAAATTTAAAAACAATAGATTTATAAATTATCAAATATAAAAAGAAAAAAAGATTAATAATTGAATTTATACTTTTACTTAACATAATTACAAAAGATTAAATAAAGATATTTAAAAAACGATACCGTTGGCTAAGAATAGCTAATTGCACACTAAATTCTACATAACTTTCTGCTTCCATGCCAAAAGCTACAGCATCAGGATAAACTTCAAAACTTGGCATGCATTTCTCCTCAACAATGCTTGAAACCAAGTTTGTGGTCGTCACAACATCATCATTTTCAGTCGTTAAAGCTTCTGTTGAAGTTGGTAAAGTACTTTCCACTGCTGCTGCTGTTGTTGTTGTTATTGTTGTAGATGATGTTTCTAATGATGTTGAACTAATAGTTGTTACTTTATTACTTGTAGTAGAGGGCAAGGTAGTAGTATCAACTAAGGGTGTTGTAGTTGAAATTGTAGTATCAACTAAGGGTGTTGTTGTTAAAATTGTAGTATCAATAAAGGGTGTTGTAGTTAAAATTGTAGTATCAATAACAGGTGACGACGCAGCAGTTGATTCTACTGCTTTAACATTAGTTGAACTTTTTAAAGTAGTCTTTGCTGTTTCTGATATTGAAGAAGAGGTTTTCTCAAAGGGAGAGATAGAGGAGGTAAATAATTTTGTTGTTAATAGAGTAGTTTCTGTAGTAGAATGAGGAGATTCTGTAATAGACGGAGGATTTGAAGTATTACCATCTGATAAAGAGTTTGAGATTGTTTCTTTAACTAGCTCTGTATTTTTAGCTGAAGCTGTTGTAGACTGATATTGTGTAACTAAAGATGAACCATCAGTTGTTTTTAACTGAACAGGTGAAACCAATGGAAGAGGAGGATCAAATAACAAACTATCAATTCGAGCACCATTAAAAAGTTGTCCCCCCATCATATCAATTTCTCTGTTAAATTGTCAAAAAATTATAATTAGTCTATTTTATATTTTTATAGTACACAATTTTATTATTATTCGTGAACTTAAATTATTTTATTCTTTACTTAAATTGTTATATAACTTAAATTATTATATTTCTTTAAATTTTTATTTTGTTTATTCAGTAAAAAATTATTTGGACTTTTAAAATTTTAAAAAAAACATACTTTAAATCACAATAAAGCTGTCGAAAGTTTCCTAAAAATCCAATCATACTTTGGTAATTACGCCCGATTATAATTTTTTCTCCAAAATTAAATTCAACATTTGCATCAAAAATGGCAGTTGTATAAATTTTGTCTATGCCAAGATATACTGTACTACTAGAAAGTAAAGCAATTTGATAATTAAAAAAATGTATATATTGGAAATAAAAAAAAAAGAAAAGAAAAGAAAATTTATATATACTGATGGTACTAATACAAACATTAATAAAAACAATAGTTCTTTCTTACATTTAATTATAAATGTTATAATATATATATATATATATATATATATATATATATATATATATATATATATATATATATATATATATATATATATATATATATATATATATATATATATATATATATATATATATATATATATATATATATATATATATATATATTAAAATGATTAACTTGTAGAGAAAATAAGGTTTTTCCTGACTATTATCCAACCAGCATGCTAAATCACTGCCACAATTTTTGTACTAAAATATCTTATGCCAATAAGTTTATATATAAATCCTTATTTTACCTATGAAGAAACGTTATTTTAATAATCTGTGATACCACAAGTAAAATGTACCTCTAACCACAAGTTTCAAACAAGTTTCAATCATCTAACCACAAATTTCAATACTTGAGTAAGAAATTTAGTTTACATAATGGAGTTAACATAATGATCCAATAAAAATTTAAAGGAAAATAGATTTAAATACCTTAGTATATATGATGTTAAAATCAAATGTTGAATTCATACTTAAGATCGCGTCAGGAAGATTATGATCACCAGACAACTGGTAAGACATATTCTAAACGTATTCTGCAATTACCCCAAGAACCTGCAGCCTTGTAGAGTTTACTTTCCTAGGCAAAGGCTGGGGAAATTTAACTTTTATTTAAAATAGCTCTGACTTTGGCTCTTGATTGCACCAAGGCTAAAGAAGGTATTGTAAAGAAGGTATTGTAAAGAAGGTATCATAAAGAAGGTATTGTAAAGAAGGTATTGTAAAAAAGGTATACCAAAAGAAGATATTATACCAAAAAACAACATTCAGATCAGATAACATTAGAATTCATTAGAGTAAAATCAAAAAATAAATAGTAGAGCAATTCCGCAAAAAAGAGGAAAAAAAAAAAAAGCAAAAAAGTTATGAAAACACATACTAAATTCTTTTTTTTAACTATTTAAAATAATTTAAAGCAAAAAAGTTATTTAAAAAATCATTTTAACATACCATAGCATAGTTTTAAAGTTGTAAGATTCTATAAATGTGTTTTGACACTTATTTACAGTCCTGTTGTGTAGTGTTAAAAACCGTATTGCATATCCATAATTAAGTACTTTGATAATGCTATAGTGCATTTTTTTATCATAATGGTTTTTTAACAATCATTTATATTTTTTTTTTCTTAAAACATTGTTGATAGTTGCAACAAAAAAAGTATTAAAAAAAAACTTCAAGTAAAAACTATGAAACTTATGAATTTTTTTTTTTACCGTTTGCTGCGTAGAGTCTAAAAAAGTTGTTAGCTTTAATAAGCTAACAACTTTGTTAGCTTATTAAAGCTAAAAAAGTTTAAAAAGTAAGCGCTACAACCGTAACGCTACCTAGAGTTAATTTTTGAAAAAAGTTAAAGACTTTAATTCTGTAACTTTACATACTAAATTATATGATAGTATTTCACATTTCTGGAAAGTTTCAAGTTATTTTTATTTTCGATTTATTTTTAATAGCTTAAAGAGTGTCAAATGTTACGATCGCTACTCTTGCGGAATTGCCCATTAATTAAATAAATTTTTTTTTAAATTTATTCATTTAATTGTATTTTAAAAATTAGTAGTAATTGACAAGGAGCCGATGCTGTGGGAGCCAATACTCTGGGAGCCACAGCTGTCAATACTCTAGGAACAAAGCCAAAATATTCTGAAAGCTGAATCTTCAAACACCTTAGGAGCTGAAGCCATATATACTCTGGAAACTTTAGCCAAACTTTAAAAAAACTCAGAACTTAACAAGCTTCAAATATCGCTAGAAAAAATGTTGAAGTGCACAATTTAAAAAACAGTTAGAACCTGAAGAAATATATGATTGTTAATCTACAAAAAAAAAAGTTAACTTGTTAAATATTAGAAAAATACTATCTGTTTAAACAGCCATCTTTAAAAAAATTAATATGCATTTAGTCAAAATTAATTTGAAAAGTTTTCCAAAAATCATTAGGATTTAGAATAACATTTCTAATACAACAAGCCTTTACAAAAAATATTTTGAACATACTTATTCTTACAGATAATTTTTATATTATTATATTTATTTCTAATGTATTTCTTATATACTTAACCTAACAAATAAATTTTAATTATGAGCTTATTAAGCTTTTTTTTCTTTTTTTTTATAATTGCTCAGCTAAATTTAATAAGAACACCAGCAGAACTTTAACAGTACTTGTTCCCCTAAAATCTATTTTTTCAAAGCTATTCATTGCACCAATATTTAAGAACAAAATGCCTAAAACTAAAATATTGTATTTAAGAGCAAAACGCCTACAACTAAAATATTGGATTTAAGAGCAAAACGCCTACAACAAAAATATTGGTTTCCAAACAGCTTTTTATGTTACTAAAACAAAAGCAAAAAAACACATGCAACATGCAAAATAAAAAAATTACAAATAATTCAATTCTTTTACAACTAGTTAAAAGGACTTGAAACTAACTGCACAATGGTTAATACAGAAAGTTTAAATGCATACATATAAACATACATCTATACATAAATATTTTACCTATCTTTTTCAAAATAAAGAGAGACTGTATGCCATACACCATCCGATACACCACTAGAAACTTCAACAACTAAAGACTTTACAGTTTCACCAATCTTGATTTCAACATTAACTTGATTATCTTCAAGAAAAACTCTCAAATGATTTTCCTAATAACATATTACAAATAAAAGAATTAAAAAGAAATAAAAAAGTTTTAAAAAATAATAAAAATAATCATACTTTTGAAGCAGTATAGAGCAAATTAGCAGTTGATTGATATGTTTGGAATGAGAAACCAATTGAAAATGTTGTTTGAAAAGTGCATCCTGTTACCTCCATGTTTGCCTCAGTTGAAGGAAATGAGGCTGTATGACCAAACTTAAAAAATTAAAACATTTTATTAAATGAATTTCTTTGAAATAAATTTAATTACTGAGGGTTGGATACTGCTTGTTATAAAATTTAATTACCAATGGTTCAACACTATCTGTAACATTGCTGTAAGTTGTTGCATTATTGAGGTCACTAGCTCTAAGTTTCAAAGCTCCAATATAACCAACAAACCCTTTTGTTGTTAACCCTCTAAAAAAATGTTGGAAAAATTTTAACATAAAATAAATAAAATAAGATAATCACTTATTAACAACCATAATAAACATTGCTAACCAAATCACTTAACAACCATAATAAACATCGCTAAAAAAATCACTTAACAACAATAATAAACATAACTAACAAAATCATTTAGCAACCATTATAAACTTCAATAACAAAATTAATTAGCAACTATAATTAAAATTGCTAACAAAATTACATAGCGACCATAATAAACATTGCTAACAAAACCACTTAACAATCATGATATATAAATATATACCATAATACCAAAACCAATTTAAAAAATCAAAAAGTAAGAAAACTAATAAAGTAATAAATACTCTATAGGCATGTAAGTTCTCATTGGCACACCACCCAGAAATATCGATGTTGAAGCAAGATTTGGATTTTTTGGATAAGTAAATGGATCAATGACTTTTCCATAAACAACTTGAGTTTTGGCCTTTGTTAAAATAGTTAAATTCTGTATCTGCCCATCATTTAGTTTCCCAAAAACTGTATGGTTTAATTCCTTCAAACCTGATCCAAAATCGAATTTGCTGAAAACATAGCCATTTTTAATTTCAAGAGAATAAAAGTTCCTATCTGGTGGATTTATTGCCAACATTATTAAACCATCTTAAAAAAACAATTAAATCAATATAATTGTTAAATATCATATTAGATATACTTTTTAATTAGCTATATTATTAATATTGCTAATTAATTTATTGTTTTTCTAGCAACAGATATTTGATGTACCTTCTTCAATTGTAGCAAATGAAATCTTAACTCTTGAGAGTTCCATATCTTTTCCAGTAAACTGCAAAAATCCATCACCATTTAACATGTACTGACCTTTACTTGACTCACGTTGGTACTTGCATTCATATACATTTCGTGCACTCTTAAAATTATAATTAAAATAAAATAACAAACTAATAGTAACATAAAAAGTAAAACAACAAAAAAAACAAAAAAGCTATTCTTATGACAAACCTTCCAATTCCACAATCCTAACAATTGATTGCTAAAGACTAATTTATCTATACATCCTTGGAAGGTTCTGCTCTTTAAAGACGAAGAAGCCTTAACACCTTCAGGTAAACCTCCAACTAAAAGATCATTTTTTTCAAGACTTAATATGGGTAATTCAACAAAACTGGACATTTTGTCCTCCTCTGATGGCAATACTTGAGTAATAGAGAATTCTTTTACTATCAATACTGCATCACCAAAGCTCCTAAAAATTTAAAAACTGTTATTTTTAACTTTTAAAACACATAAAACCAAAAACACATGAAACACACACAAAAAAAAAGCAATATACAGAATTAGATAAATTAATTTTTTTTTTTTTTTTACCTTTTAACATTAAGAGAATAGAAAATATCTTTAGCAAGAAGTTTTTTACTAATCAATGTTCGTGTACTACCAGAGTTTAGACGAAAATGAAAATTTAATTTTAAATTAACAATTTCCATGGCCAAAAAACCATGTTTGTCTGGTTCCTGCTGATTACCAATAAAAAAAAGCAAGCCATTGTCTGCACTAGTTTTGAACACTAAGGATATTTCATTGTATACACTTGGATCAACAGCAGCTTGAGGAGAATTCAAAACTAATTCAGAGGTATTGCTAAAGGTCATTGCAAGCGGCATAACATTTGCAACATAATGAGCATTTTGAATCAAAAACTTTATATATTCAATACTATTTGTGATGTTATTCTTTATTGTCTCATCTAATTCTTGGCGTTTCAGATTTAATTCATCTACACTAGACTTCAATCCAGGAATTACATCAACAACCTTGTTGACTTCATCAACAGCTTTACTTAATAACTTTCCAATATCATCTAATTCATTTTGCACACCTTTTACTGTTTTTTTGTCATTGTCTATATTATTCTAAAAGTCAAAAATATACATTCACAAATAAATACAAAATTTCTAGAAATTTTTTTTTTTTAATTAAAAAAATGTCTAAAGCATAATACTTTATTTTAACCCTACTTTATTTGTACCCTTATTTCCTACCTTAATTTCTGTCATTTTTGCTTTAGCATTTTCTGTTATATTTCTTACTTCTTTTTCTTGTGTTTTTAAGCTATTCACTTTAGAATCTAATCCAAAATAAGTTAAATAGAAATCATTTTATTTGATATATATCTAGATATATATAATTAATTATATGTAAATAATTTTTAATAACTAATAATTTGTTCATGGCATAACAGACTGAAGTAGTGGACTTATTATGGTATGATACTATTATAATAGCAAGAAAATAGAAGCATTTATGATAGTAGTATTGATACCTGTATCATTTTGAGCATCAAAGATTTGAAAATCTTCTTTAACGTTTAAAACTCTTTTTTCAATGCCCTCTCTTAGTTTTTTGATATCTGCTAATCGCTTTTTAATTCCATCTAGTGAAATTTTCACATCATCAACTTTAGCCTTCAATTCAGAACCTTCAAATGCAATTGCTTCACTTTTTGATTTAGATGAAACTGCATTTTCCTTTGCCTGTAATGCCTAGATAAAAAAAACTTCTTAAAGGAGTTTGGAAAACTATCATTTAGATGAAAAAGAGTCTGGAAAACAATCAGATATAAAAATAGTAACAGATAATAAAGGAAATAAAAATTGAGCCATCAAATAAATACTTTGTCTTGAGCATTAAAGGTTGATGAATTGGCCAATTTTGCAGCATCTAAGGCTTCATAAATAGCATCAACAATATTAGCATACACTTTTGCAGCACGTAAAGCAGCCTCTGCGAACATTTGTGTGTCTTGTAACAATCTTTTAAGTTTATCAGCTAATTCTTTTAGAGATTTCGCATGTTCTACAGCTTGATGAACAGTTGGAGTGGATGTTACTAAAGAATTGCGTAGGTCATCGACTAAAGCACGAAGACGTTTAATAAGTTCTCCTAAAACACCTGTTTTGTTGTAAAACTCCTGTAAGAAAAATTTGAACATTTTGAAAGAAAAAACATATACAAAAATAAATCTAAAAAAAATTATTCATCAACGTGTAATATTTTACAAATATAAATAAAAAAACATTTCAATTTTGTTTACATCTTTGAAATGAAAAAAAACTTTTAAACTTTAATGAAATAAAATAATAAAAAATTTTACAGTGTAAACCAACTTCGCAACAACAAGAGCCTTCTCTCCATTCTTCAATATTTCATCTGCATTTTCTATTGTGATGTTAATATCTTTGCTTAAGTTGCTTGCCATCTCTAACAATGACTAAAAAGTTTATTAATTACAACAAAATGCTATAAATTAATAAATTTATGTAAAAATAAATAGCAATAAAAATATAACACAGCTCTCTATATCAGTATTAATCAAATAGAGCATTTATTTATTATAACAAAAAAAAAAAAAAAAAAAAAAACAACAACAACAACAACAACCACAACAACAAAATGTCATCTACCTTGATATTAAAACTTTTAGCCAATGAAATTAAATCTGTTGCGTTTTGTGAAATCAAAAGTGCTGTCTCACTTTCTTTCTTTATATTAATAAAAGCAGCTAAAAAATCCTGGAATGTGTCATTAAAATTCTCAGCTCTTTTTGACGTGTTTAAAGCTGTCTGCTTTAGTTCATCAGATACTTTTTTGTTATTAATAGAGAAATTGCTTTCCTTATCAACTGCTGATATTGTTTGAGAAAAATTACGTCCTTTAATTTCATCAAGTATTTTTTTTGCATCAGCAAGTACTTTTTCAGCATCAACTTCTCCAATTTTTATGTTGCCAAGTGTGTCATTGGCAGAAAGGAGAGTATCTAAATCACATATTTACTTTAACTTCATTTTGTTTGAAGTTTTTGTTTGTTGAAACTCTTAATTAGGTAAATACTTTCGTAATGACATTATAAATATTTTAAACTAAACACTAAATAATCACTAAATAATCACTAAATCACTGGAAATGATTTTTAACTTACAAGAGATTCTTTTTTTTTTGATACTTCACTGGAGTTTTTTTTAACTTAAAATAACTTAAAAGAGATAAGTAAATATTCTTCAATAATTTAGTTTAGCAACTAAATACAGATAATTTGCATAATTAATTGTACAAGTTGCATAGTTAATGTATTTACTACAACATTGATAATAAAGTCTCTGTATAAAGATTTTACTTATCCTATATATTTATCATATGTATTTGTTTTTAATCTGCAAACAAAGAATTATATATTCATGTTAAAGCTTTTAAATATTAAAAAATAGTTTTTATTGTATTCCCTAGAGATTTTTTAACATACTTTAAAGTACTATAGTAGTATACTGAATGTACTGAAAAAGGCTTAATATATATTTGTCTACTTATGTTTTTTTATATATTAGTCTATTTACGTCAATAAAGTCATTTTATTGTGATAACACAATACAACTTGTTTCACTTTTGTTTTAAAATTGTGTCTTTTGTTGATAAGTATACACATTGAGCTTGCTTCAAACATTTTATAAAACAAATCATGGATGACTTTTAAAATTTAGTAGCATTAATGTTTTGGACTATTATTTATTAAAATATTTAAAAAAATATATTATTCTTTATGTTTTGTATTTTTGCAAGCACATACTTTTATCAACACAACTAGTTATAAAATCTATTTTTGTTCTGTTCGTTTTTTTATTTTTAACTTTTTAATAATAGTTAGAAATAAAAAAATTAATAATAGTCAGTAAAAGTGAGTAATAGTTGCTGTAAAAAAATTTTACAGCCACAAGTGACAACTACACGTGACAACCACACAAGTTATGTGAAATTGAATGTTATTATTGTATTTTTAAATGTCTCTTTTTTATTTTAAAAAAATATATAAAATATATATAAAACATATACTTTCAACATCCTTAATAAGTAGGTTTAGTCTTGCAAGAATTTCTTCAGCTCTTTCCTTGGTATCAGATGCATTTCTTGATGTTTTATAAGCATCTTCTTCAAGTTGCACAACATTCTTTTCTGTTACATTGAGCTTTGCTTCAGTTGAAAGAAGAACTTTTGCTAATGTTGGAGGGCATGATTCTGTTACAAAAAGATATAAAACAATTGAGTAAAAAGTTAACAAGCCATTAATGTATTAACATTAGCTATACAACAGAACCTTGATATTGCTTCATCAATTTTATTTTAAACTATTTGTTATTTATAAATTTTTTGTAAAAAAAAAATATTGTAGTTTTTTTAAAATTATTTTTCATATTTTACACTATTTTGTTTAAATATGAGTGAAACTACTTTAGAAAAACAAACAAATTTTCTAGAAGAACCAATCAAATCAAACTGTTACTACAGTTTTATCAAACAATATTCAATATTGTTTGACCCATATTTTCTTAAAATATGTATAGCTAAAAAAAACTTGCATAAAAAATTACCTTCAACTTCAAAAAAGCATCCTTTAAACTCTGAAACAGTGTGCATTTTTGTATCATCTGGTTTTGTTCCCATATTTTTAAAACCTGTTGCTTTCTTCAATGTTTCGAAGTCATCAGAGATAATTTTTTCATTCCCTAAAAGTCTAAAATTGAAAATGCTAGTTAAGTATATTTATGTTTACACATGTTTCTGTTTGATAAAAAGATAATTTAAAATAATATATGCAATAATTTTGTTTTAACATTTTTGATTCTGGGCAAGCATTAATTATCGCATATATGTTTATATATGTATTTCTGATTGATTATTTTGTTTATATGTCAATGTCTGCAAGTTTTACACAAATTATTATAAAGTCATATCACAAGTTTAGAAACAAAGGATTTAAAATTAGTTAGAACAAAATAAATTAACTTTATTATAAAAAATAAATTTAAAGTTTGAGCATTTATTAAACTATATTAGAATATAAATGCATTATATAAAAACTCAAAATACTTAACAAAATTTACATACATAAAATAACCACATAATTAATTTACATAAATAATTAACGTAAGTTAAAAGAAAAACAATTAAAACTTAAAAAAAAAACTTCATACCTTTGAAGCGTATCATTGATTTCGCTTAATGACGATTGTGAAATGCTTCCTGATGAATATACACTTTCCTCAACCAGCTTTATATTTTTCATTAAATGGTTAACTTTGTTTAGAGTATTTTGAACACAGCTGTCGCACTCAACACAAGAATCATTCTCAATTATATAACCCGGTGGACATAATGAGCATTTGTTTTCTGATAAATCACAATCACAACTTCCAGTAATAACGTCACAGAAACCACCATTAGGACAACTACACTCTAAAATGATAATAAAAATTCAAAACTTTTTTACAAAAAAAGGTTTAGTAAAGATTTTGCAATTTTTTGTAATGCTTTTAGTATACTAAACTGTAAAGATAAAATTTTTTTATTTTGTTTTAATTTTAGTATGCTTGACTGTTTTATAAAAATTAGGATTATTAAAAACTCTTTATGAAAATGTCCAGCAATGCAAGCATTACTGAAGATTGACAGCATGTACATTGATATAAAACTTTTCAAAGAAAATGAAGGTAATTTATAGCTGTTTCATTAAAAAGTTTAGAATATACAAGGTGAGAGTTTTAGTAGGAAGCTTAAGGTACACAAGAGCATAGAACAGATAAAATAGAGTCCTGCATTTTAATTTTTTCTGCATTTTTATTATCTAAAAAAAAATTACAGACTCGAATATGATAAGTATAAAATAGTGGTAATAAGGTGATAAACGGAGGTGTAAGGACAAGTTTAAGAGATAATATGATATAACCTTTTTTTTTAATTTGTGATTATTAGCAGGATTATACAGGTTATAAATTTTTTTTATAAATATAAAATAATTTTTAATTAAACAAAGGTAAATTGTTTTACTTTTTATTATAAAAATATGTATAGGTTTGCAACCTATACATATTTTTATAATAAAATTCTGGTAAAAGAAAAATACTACATCTTAAAATTGTCTTTAATTTGATATAAAAATCTTTATTAAAAATTGTTTTTGTGCAGCATATATACATCTTCCTTAATTTATTTATCAACATTAGTAACATAATTTATTTATTAACATTAGTAACATAGTTTATTTATTAACATTAGTAACATCATAATTTATATATTAGGAGACAAATAACATGTGCACAAAAACAACATCTAAGAAACCCTGCAATAGATTATGCAATAAAAGAAATCAGCAACTTACTTTGGCACCCTGACAGTGAATAATTAAAGTATCCAAGTTTACACCAATCACATTTTTTTCCTTCAACAGTAGGCAGGCATTTACACTCCCCAGTTAATGCATCACAGTCTTTTGATTCTGAAGCTAGACCACAATTACAGTCTTGACAACCTTGACAAGAATTAAAGTTCCATGTTTGGGGCTAAATAAAATTTTCTTATTAATAAAATCAAATTTTTAAAAAAATTCTTCCTAATTAAGAAGTAATTTTGATAAAAGAAATTATAGAATTTATATAAACCCACTAGCAAAATGTATATAAAATGTATAGAATTTATCAATAAAATAATCTTTTTAAACTTAGATAAATAGAATAACAGTATAATAAGAATAATAACATCATACTTTACATCTATCACACTGCTTGCCTTCTACATTTGTTTTACATTGACATTGGCCTGTGGTACTGCTACATGAGATACCACTAGAGCCACAAGTATTACAAACACAATCCTTACAATTATCAAGCTTGCCATAGAAACCAGATTTACATTTCTCACAATGATCTCCATCAGTATTGTTCAAACATTTTTTACAGGTACCAGTCACTGGGTCACAATTACCTAGCAAAAAAGTTCATATAAAATTATGAATGCTAGAACAATGCTCACAAAACTGTTTACATTATAATGACATAAATTAATTGATGTTTTATTTCAACTGCTTTTTAAAAATCTATATACTGAACCATAAAATTGATAAAATTTCAAATTTAATTATAATTTTACAAAAGTTATAATTATAATCAAGTTATAATCAGACTATGTATTAACTATGAATTAAAAACTAGTCAATAAAGTTAAAATAAACAAAATAAAAAGCAAAAGACCAGAAACAACAATAACAATAAAATGATTTATCATACAGCACCGATATATTTTTGATTGTTTTTCTGTCCATTACCTTTTTGTGTATTTATAAGTTTTGTGTATATTTAAACACATATTTGTCTTTAAACTTTTAACTGTGTCATTTAGTTTTAACGTTTATTTTTAAAGCAAACGTTTTGATAGACAGCATAATATCTTTAGCACAGTTTAACTGGTAGGCACAAGGTTCAAATCTAGCCTAATTGATTTTTTTTTAAATCTCTCAAACATGGCCCATTATGATCCACCATATGTAAGAAAAACATATTTATATATGCAACTGCTATTAAATTATATTTAACTGTAAAATGTGAGTTAACATAAAAAATTAATTTTACAAATAAATAAACAGAAAATATAAGTTTAAAATTGAATAAAAAACAAAGAAAACCAGACATAACAACTCAATTTAAATATATAAATATTTAAACAATATAAATATATAAATACCTGATAAATTTAAATTAACATTGCCACTACATGAACACAACTTGCAACTACCTCCTGGTTCGGTAGGATTGCCATAGTAACCGTCAGCACAACTCTCACATTTTGCTCCAACATAGCCTTGCTTACATTTACAAATAAGTTCTGATGTATTTAAACTGATTGCACATGAATCTGCAAAGTTACCAGTGAGATGTACACTGGGACATGGGCATGGTGCACAATCTTTTCCATAAAAGCCTGGTTTGCATTCTTGACAGTGGTTACCTAATATATTTTATATAACAATAAAAATTATCTGATAACACATCTAAATTAAATTTTATATAACAATTAAAATTATCCGATAATGCATATAAACTAAATTTTACATTACAATTAAAATTAAAAAATTTACCAAAAAAATTTCCAACACAATCTTGGCAAACTCCTGTCTCAGCATCACATTTATCACTTCTACCCATACAGTCACATTTTCCACATGTACCATTAGCTTGCATACTGTATCCTGGAGAGCATTTTGTACATCCAGGTCCTGTATAACCGTCAGGGCATACGCATTCTTCAATACCAAAAACCATTTCCTCTCCATTAATATTTGAAGAATCTAAAGTAACATTCCATATCGATGATGTAGCAATGTTGGCATCATGAGTAGCTCTTATTTTAACACTGGAGATTTTTGCAAGAACATCAAGAAGCTGGATGCGAGATACTGGATAAACATCGTCTAACAACCATTCATTCTTTAAAATTGTTTAAAATAATTTATAAGTTTTGAGGATTTCCAGCAACTTTTTTTAACACAAAAAAAACCCGTTTATTTGTTTGTGTGAAAAAAAAAAATATTATGAATATTATTAAAAACAAGAACTTAAAATTGAGTATGTATATTTCTATACCTTAAAGAACAAAAAGAGAAAAACTTGTAAAAGAGATAGAACTTGTCTATTCAACAAGTATAGCATGATTTTTCTTACCATTATGCAACCATTATGAAATTGCAACCATTATGCAACCATTATGAAATTACTAATGCAATAATAATTGAATCAGAGTTTTTGAAAAATTTGTTCAAAACATTTAAAGCAAATCCCCTTTTTAAAAAACAAACTGACTCAATTAAATATAATAGAAATACATTGTTGAATATAATTTGAATTAAAAAATTTATCAATTTAGGAAAAAAAATTTGGTTAAAGTTAAGTTTGTTCGTTTGCAAAAACAAGACAACTGAACCATAGTTTTAAAATTTATATTGAAAGTAATAAGTGTCTTTTTCAATAAACATTTTTCAATATTTTTTATAATAAGTAGCTTATTACGACTTTTAATTTTTATTTAATTTTTTTTTTATTACTTCAAGTTAAAATTTCCCTTTTTCAAAATATTTATTTTTAGTCAAAGTATGTATATAATTAAAAAAGTTAAAAATGTATCTCATAAATTAAATTTTATATATTCATAATAAAAAACTTGATGATTTAATATAAACACTAAAGACTTAAATATAAATTTTTCATATAAAAAAATATTGACTAATAAACTTAGTAAGTATCGAAAATTTAATGGTGTAAATATAAAATAAAATAAATTTGTACCTCAACAAGTGGAAAGATAAAAGTATTGTCTTGATTAGCATATCTTGGATTCTGTTTTTTATTTTTTATACTCAAACCATTTCCCTAATGAAATCATTTTTTAATACTTAATAATCATTTTTTGAACATATCAACAAAACCAACAAAATATATTTTGTTATTTTTTAAACCATAACTTGATACCTGAATAATAACATCAGGTAAGTCATTAAGAGTTTGGGAAGTCATTTTTGTTGTGTATCTAAAGTTATACATAAAAGATCCTCCATATGACTCAACCTAATTAATAAAAATGTTTCACATAAAAAAAAAAAAACTATAAAAAAAAAACAATTTTATAAAAATATTTATTATTAGATTATTACCTTTCGATACAACAACTGACATCGATCATCACTACCGAAACATACTATAGACTATTATTTTTATAATAGTAATAGATTTTCAGTTTTTAAATATATTTTTTAAATAGTTTTATTGTATATTTAATAACAGAATTAAATATTGTCAAAAGCTCTTACATGATTCCCTAAATATTCTTGAGGAGAAATCCAATAAATGATATTTGCTGAATTTTTTTCAGAAAAGTTTGTTACAAGCTTGCCTAAGGGTAACTGAAACACACTTTGATTTACATTTGAAATAGTCCATTTTGTACCTCTAACAGCCACACCCCTATAAATAAATGGGAATATCAAATATGTTAAGTGATTCCAATTATAAAACACATTTAATACATAATACATTAACACTTTACATACAAAAGCATAGACTCAATTAGAAGCACATTAAAAAAAAAAAACAATGTTGAATGCAATATTTGGAATAAAGAAAAAAGAAAAAGAACAAAAAATTTAAATTAGTATCACCAAGACGCCTGATGAATTTGTCAAAACATAAGGTTCAATGAATAAAAATTTTTTACTTTAGTGAATTTTAGAGAAAACTTATTTGAAGAATCTTCCAGAGATTAGGTTTGACCAATGAAAAAAAAGCTCAGCTTTTTTTTCAGTCATTTCTTAATAAGGGTTTTATTTAATGGTTACTTAGCTTATCAAAAAAAGGGTATAATAATAAGGGTAATAAGGGTAATAAGCTTATCAAAAAAAACTCAGCTTTTTTTTCATTTCAAGAGTCAAGTTGAGAAAAATGAGTCAAAATTTTTATCATCCTAGGCATTAATGACTTATAAACAAACAAAAAGAAAAATAACAAGATGCAATCCAAGACACAACATCCGAACAAAAAGATCAGCATATATACAGAACAAAGCTTAAAAAACTCAAAGCTGAAATAGATTGGTCTTTAAAAAATACAGCGCAATTGGTAAAAGGACATTTGTAAAAGCGATTGGTACAAATAATCAAGCTGTTACAGTCTTTGATATGTACTGACTTTACAGTTGCAGCAAAAACTAATACCAAACTACTATTACAAATCCATAGTATAAAAATTTACATGAAATTGAATTTGAAATAAAAAATTCCAACAGAATCCAGCAGAATTCACGAGATTTATAAACCTTTGACAATAACAGAAAACAATACTACTTTAAAAAAGAATATAATTATTTTAATTTTTTATAATTTTTTATTATATTTTGATTTTTTTTTAATTTTGATTTTCTTTCTAAACAAAAGCAATTTTTACAACAACAAACTGTGAAAACTTGGTAGATTTCATGCAGAACCATGTGCAGAGTGTCATAGCAACACAAAAAGGATACACAATGAGTTTGATTTATCATTAAAATATTTTCTTTTTAGGAAACTGCATAAATTTAAATAAAAAATTAAATAATTTAAAAGAAATTAAAAAAGTTAAATGTATATTATTCTGGTCAAGATATAATAAATACATGATATAATAAGTGTACATAATAAAAGTGTATTGATGATAATAAAAACAAACTAAAAACAAAGTAAAACTTATTTTTGTGTTCAAAAATATATTTTACCTTGATTATTTAAAACATTTTTTACTTTGATCACTCAAAAATATTTTTACTTTACTTACCCAAAAAAAAAATTTTTTTGATCACCCAAAAATTTATAGATTTTGGGCAATAATAAAAATGGATTAATAATAACAAAAACAAAATAAAAACAAAGTTAAAAATTTTGTGTTCAAAAATAACCTTAATAACCTAAAAAAAATTTTTTCATTCTCAGAAAACAAATTGAAAAAAATTAAAATTTTACAAATTTGAAAAAAATTAAAATTCTTTTAAGTTTCCATTACTGAGTTAATTAAAATTTCACTAAAAATCACTCAACATTATTATTTTAAAAAATATGGAAAGATCATAATAGACATTGAAAAATAGTTGTGACATATTAGATAGATGTTGAGCAATATAGTTGCGACACATTAATTGACAGTTTTTTATTTGTATTAGTGACTAATAGTAAGAAAAATAAACATCAAATTTTTTTTATTACTGTTTTAAATAAAGATTATATTACATAAAAATAGTTTTAAATTTAGTATAAAAATAAACAATCAATAATTTAAGTATAAAGATAATCAACCAACCATACCTAACAAATAAAAATGTATTTTAAAATGATAACCTGTAAACTTGCGCTTCTTTGCATTCAGTTGTGTGTCCAGAACACCAACATTTCAGACAAAGCTGTTCACCTTTTTCTGATTTTGTTTTAAAATAACCTTTCATACACTCATCGCATCGTGTTCCAACTACTGAATCCTAAAATAAAATAAAAACTTATAAACATAAATAACATAAAATAACAAAAAGAAGAAAAAAAGAACTTTTTTAAATATTATACAAATTTGCATTGTAGTATAACTCAAAGGTTATTAATAATACTTTTCATAAAATGAAAGAGATCATTATAACCTGATTGTAACTCTAGAAACAATAATAGTACGGTGTAATTTTATTTTACTTAAAATGATTTTGTTAACTGTATAACCATTAAATTTTTTAACTATGTACTATTGTCAAATTGTTTTTATATTTAGTGCTTTAAAAAAAAATTTAATTCATTTTTGATTTACACTGAAATTACCTTAGTATGTAGTATAATGTCACACCTGAGTATATAGTATGTCACACATTAGTATGTAGTATGATGTCACAACTTAGTATGTAGTATGTACACCTGCATAGGAATGACATTTAAAGCTTTAGTTTCAAGGACTAAAGCTTTAAGGTAAACTGTTATTCCTTTAAGTTTTCAAATTTAAGGTAAATTGTTGTTCCTTTAAGTTTTCAAATTTATGGAAGAACAGTATTCAAAACAACAAGAAAACACAGATATTATGAAAAATAAAATTATTATAAAAATAATATAAATATGGAGCTGAATAAGCTGAATATATTCAGTGAATGCTCAAAAATCTAAAAACTCTAAAAAAAATTAGAACTGTAAAATTTTTTATAATTGTTTTGAATAGTGTTCTTCCATAAATTTAAAAACTTAAAGGAAGAACAATTTACCTTAAATTTGAAAACTTAAAGGAATAACAGTTTACCTTAAAGCTTTGGTCTTTAAAACTAAAGCTTTAAATGTCATTCCTCTGCAGGTGTACATATTACATACTAAGTTGTGATATCATACTACATACTAAGGTGTGACATCATACTATATACTCAGGTGTGACATTATACTACATACTAGGGTGTGACATTAAGTGTGTAGTTCAAAGTAATTTCAATGTAAATTTAATTTGCATAAATGAAACTATTACATAAATTAAAAAGTCAAGAAATCTTTTTTAAACTAGGATTAAAATTTTGTAAAATAAGACAAAAAGATTTTTTGTATAAAAATTTAGGTTTATATTTTTGTATCTATAGGTTCATACTTTTGTATCTATAGGTTTATACTTTTGTATAAATCTATTGAATATTTCTAAAAAAACCGCATTTGAGATAGAGAGATCAAAATTAGAAGTTTAACATTGTTCCCAGGCTCCAATTGAAACTCATATTATATTTAAAATTTTAAGAAATTTTTTTATTTTAAATTTTTCAGGTTTTAATTTTTAACATTTCAAATGTAGTACTTCTGTATTTTTTTAAACATCAGCAGAATATATTTAATTTTTAGGTTATAACTGTACAAAGTATAGCCGAACCTTGTACAGTTATAACCTAACAACTGTACAAGTTGTGTTAAATTTGAAACAAGACTTTTTTCTGGACTTTTCTTTTATTTGGGTGTAGTGTCTAAAATCATCTAATCAAATGCAAGCCAAAATTTTTTGCAGTTGCAGAATGAATTCCTTTATTAATTGCTGCATCCATAGGCCACAAAAGGACACAGTTGTATTTAACTTATTAGTTTATACTAGTGTTAAAAATTTCCGCAAAATTTCTGGAAATTTTTAATCCTAATAATTTGGGGAACAAGTATCAGAACAAACAAACTATTAATTTGTTTGTTTCTTATTTCTTCTGTTACTTGTTCCACAAAACATTATGGTTTAAAATTTCTGAAAATTTTGCGGAAATTTTCAACACTAGTTTATACGCTTGCGGATTAAAAAAATTCAATTATAATAATAATATATTAATTTAATGATAATTAATTTAATTATTTATTTCAGCAGTATTTGTTTTATAATGGTTAATTAAATTTTTGAATGTAATGGAATTATAATTCACAATTCACTTTAAAATAGAGTATTTCATTTTTTATTGTTTTATATTGTTACAATATTTATTGTTATAAGATTTTAATTTTTATCATTAAATATAAAATTGGTGACTAGGTTATCATTTAAAAAAAAATATTTTTATCTGAACATGTAATAATAGTAATGCACATTTAAAACATACCTGACAAATGCAATCACCAGTTACGGCATCACATTTTTCTCCTTTTAAACCTGCTGAGTGACAATCACATTCTTGACACAATGGGTAATTAAAAAAACCTTTTTCACATTCAGAACATTTTCTAGAACCAAAATTTTTCTTGCAATTGCACTGCCCTGTTACAACATTACATGTTGTGTTGTTATCAATTGCACCAGTAGAATCACAACTGCATGGTTGACATCCTATTACAGGATCAAAACCAAATGTTCCTTTCATACATCTATCACAGTTATCACCTTCAACACCAGGAGGACAAGAACATCGACCACTTACAGAATCACAATTTGAACAACTACATGCTAAATTTGATTATTATAAGAAAATTAGTTACCATGGAAATAAACTTTACAATATTCAACTACTTTAAGTATTGCAAAAGAAATTTAAAAAAATTAAAAAAAGATTTTTAAAAGCAAAGTTAAAGTAAAGGCTGAAACTTTATTTGTATTTTAGGTTGTATTGTTTAACTAGTAATTAACTTGTTTAACTTGTATTTCATGAAAAGTGATTTATGACAATTGATTTGTGAAAACCAAAACAATTTAAAATAAAATTTAAAAAAGTGATTTTTGAAAAACAATTTAAAATAGCAATAGAGTACAAGCTTATTGTAAATTAATTAGATAAAATAATATTTTATTTTTATAAAATATTAAGAATAATATATAGAATTATGAACAATAATAGATTAAAATAATTCAGGTATTTTTTCAAAAGAATTAACTATCTTACGTTTACAGTTTGGAAACCCATAAAATCCCATTTTGCATCTGGTACAAGTTCTCCCAATAATGTTCTCTTTACATGGGCATTGACCACCAAGTTCTGAACATTGTGAACTCTTTGAGCCTTGTTCATTGCACTCGCAGCTAAGTGCACCATTATTAAAGTTACTAGTCAATGTAAAAACAGCTTTTTTGCAAAACTCAGAACTACTTTCATTTATGTCGTAAAAGTTTTTTGTACAAATATCATTGAATTCATCAGAAAGTGTTATTGGTTGTCCTTGGTATAGATCAGGTTGATTAAGTGATTCTGAATTTTCTGGAATCAAATATACTTTCTCCTAAAAATTAAATTAAAATAATAATTATAAGAATATAGAATTATTACTTTTTAAAAAACCTACTCAAAAAAAATTATTTCGCAAAAACATATCTACAACTACTTAAAAAAGCTTTTAATTCTATTTTTTTTTTGTTTTTGTTTTCTTTTTATTAAAAAAAAAATAATTAAATATTTCATTTAGCTTCTAGTCAATTAAATCATTAAAAAAGTTACTTACTATCCAACCATTTTTTTGCATAGGTATATCAAATCTTAGCCTTGCTCTACTTGATTCAAATAAAAAGACATCCTTAGTCTCTGTCTGCTTCATCATTTCACGGCAACCATTTAAATTTGGACAGTGTTTCATGTGTAAAGTTCCAGGTTGTATAGAATTTCTGTCTGAATATATTCCAGTGGATACATCAAATGATTGATGATTTGGCTGGTAGTAATGAACCATCAGGTGATATCGACCAGGTTTTAGGTCTAAAGTTTAATCATTAGAATTTAAGTAACTTCAGTAAGTCCATAATCATTTAAACAAGTTTAATTATAATATAAAATTAATAAAATACTAGTTACCAGTGATGTCAAATGAATTTGTTCCTGGTTCAAGGTACTTCACTTTAACATCAGGATCAATAATGTAACTAGGGCGAGGTTCTCCTTCTACACTATCAGGAACTACAATTCTACTATTTTTGGGTACATCAAACTTCGTGGGAATACACTTTAAATTTTTAGCAGTACAATACAGCTGAGGTGTGACAGTATCTAAATTCCATTCATCCAATGGAATAAATGTAATGGCATCCAATCCAAATGTGGCATCTTGTCTGGGAATAATTGTCAGCATATGAGTTTTATAGTCTGAAATTTCAAAAACATTTACATCCATAAAGTCTCTATCTAGTACAACTTGGCGACAACCAAAAGTGTATGGACACTTATATAACCAACTTTTTCCTTGTTGAATGCCAGTACGACTTCGTATGTAAATATCTAAATACTTTTCTGACTCGCCATCATGAAAATACTGCAACACCACTACATATTTACCAAGATTTTTAAATTGAAAAACAATATCATGATTTTTAAACTCTGGTGAAAATTGTACCATTGCTTGATAGTCCAACTTTTCAAGAATTTTAGAATCATTAAAAAAAGGAACAACAGTTTTTTTAGATAATACTGTTGGATCTTCAGCTTGAATAGTTATGTAACCTTGTTGTTTTTCGAAGGGGACATACTGGTATATATTACAAAAACGTTCAATCTTAGTGGCATCACATGGATTCTGGACTCTTTTAGTAAGAGTTTTTGGCTGAGCATAATCTTGAGGTACAAGAACAATGTAATCCTAAAAAAAAACCATAAGCTTTAATTTATCAACTATTATTTAATTTTTATAATAATTAATAATTTTCAATTAAAGAAATCTATCTTCAATTAAAGAAATCTATCTAAAATACATGACAAATATATAGGTTAAAACTTTTTAACTTAATGTAAAAAACATCAGCATACCAAAAGAAGAGCAGAAACTTGTGATGTAAATTCAACTTTCCATTTACCAGGCTCCAAAGTAAAATATTTAGGTGAACCAGATGATTCTTTCACTAAACTAATTGATGTTTTAATAACTGTACTTCTCTGAGTTGATGGGAAATTGATTAAACCTTGATGTTCTTGGTTACCTAATAATTTGTAATAACTATATGTAACTAATAATCTTAAAATTTAAATGTTTATAAATTTTATAAATTTATTTATACCAGAGATATATACCACGAACAGTGAGAATTATCATGACTACAATGAATTAGTGAGTCATTCAGTTCACAAAAAAGACACAAAAGCAGTGTTTCGATAGATATTGATTTGATTGTAAGTTTTCAATTAATATAATAGAATTAAAGTTTTGATCTGGTTACTAATTGATTCAAAATTTTTGATCTGGCCACAGATTAGTTCAAAAATAATCAAAATTTTAAACTGCATTTAATTATTTCTTTCAAGGTTGTACCCCAACAAATAATGTGGATTTCAACTTTATTATTGGACAGTAAATAAAACAACATACATTGGTGTACCTAACTTGCAGTGTTGAAGTGGACAGAAAGTGTTGACAGTAGCAGTGGTGGAGTGGACAGAAAGTGGTGACAGTAGCAGTGGTGGAGTGGACAGAAAGTGGTGACAGGAGCAGTGGTGGAATGGACAGAAAGTGGTAACAGTGGTGGAGGGCATTTAAACAAAAAAAACTCTTATATTACTTATATTAAAAATTGATTGTTAATAACTATAATCAAATATATAAAATTCTTAAAAATATTTTTTCAAAAAGTATGAAAAAAGGACTTATCTTAAGAAATAAAATAAATTTTGAAATTTCATCATCATTTAGAACAATACTAGAGAACAATAAAATTTAACAAACATACTTATTATTATGTTACCATAGTAGTGCTGCCACATTAAAGAGTATTGGTGTAATAACTTATCTATATAAGCATTGTTAAGACTCATATCAAGACTTTAAAACATTCACCCACCTCATTAAGATACATCAACACCCACCTCATTAAGATACATCAACACCCACCTACCCCATAAGGATACCACTTCTTTACTATTAACAAGTCTCACTACTCTTTTGGACCTTAACAGATTTTCATTCAATGACTGCATCTACAATCAATTATTAGATCCTTCTACCACATCTTCCTGATTGACTAACTCTGTTATTCACCTGTATGCAATCATTTTGTTGCAGGAACATAAATATAACATAAAAAAAATAAATTAAAGCAAAAAATTTGCTTTAAAGATGTAAGAGTTATTAATATTGAAAATAATTTATATTTTTCTGCTTATAAAATCACTTTTTTTTTCTTTCCAATTTATTTTTATTGTTGATCTCAAACTTTTTAAAAGAAACCAATCTAAGTATAACCACCAAATTTGTTACAGTTAAATATACCAATGACACATTAATTTAAAAATAAAAAAAAAGGTTTTTATTTAAAGAATTTTTTTGAGGAAATTTCTATCTTGACTTGTTATGTTAAGATAAAAATTATTGAATTATTGAAATGTCAATTAAATGTTACTTTTATTTAAGTTATCATGAAATTTTATTTATACAAAAACATGCATTACATACAAAAAATTATTAAAATTATATTAACTCTTATATTAATTATTACTTAAAATTGAATACGAATAATGTTTATATAAAATACTATATTAAGAAATAAGTCTTTGAAAAATGAATTATAAAAACAAAACAAAGATTTACTAGAAATTATAATTAGTCTTTGTTATTAATATTATTATTTTATTTACAAGGTTACAAAAGTAAATTAAAATTTATTTATAATTTAGAACACGGTTACAATAAAACATGTATGAAAACTTTAAATTTTTTTTTTTTTTTCAAAATTGTAATAAAATTCAATTTCTTTTGTTTAATTTAAAAAGTAACAGGAGTTTATATTCTAAATGATTCATGAAGAATTTTCAGAGTAACCATCTTAAATAACATTTGCAGAGGTGACTTTGAACAAGTGATTAAAGAGGTGACTTTGAACAAGTGATTAAAGAGGTAAATAAAATATGTTATTTTAAAATACAGCATTAGTAGATTATATTTTAAATATTATATATATATAGATAGATATAAAACATAATTAGAAAAAAATCTAACTAAACCAAAAATTAAAGATGAAAAATTAAACTTTTTAAAAATAATTTAAACTATCCAACAGATATACTTGGTAATTTATAAAACTTTATGCAGTATAATTCATAGTTACTATGTTTACATGAACTAACATAAACATCAAGTAAAATTTTGAGCAACACTAATCAAAACTAAAAAGTTATAAAACCTATAAGTAGTAATTAAATATAATATATAATAAAAATCTCAACTTTTATTTTCAATATTTAATTATTATAATAATAATAATTAAATATTATTTAATAATGCTTATTTTTAATACAAACTATATAATTAAAACTTAGGAATTTTTACCTTTAAAAATTCTGATATTACCAACAATTGGTTGAATTTGGTTTAAAGCATATTTGAACAAGACGTGGTATTTTGACTCTTTTTTGACATTAAGATCAATAACAACAGATTGCTGAAAAAAAATCATATTAAAAATATAATGACAAATATCTAAATTAACAGTTCTTAATTTAATGTTCCAGTAATTTGTCTCAATACTTGCAACTTGCCTTATGTCCTGTTGCTTTGTATGATTAGGTTTTTTAGGATAAGGCTAGAAGAAGTCTGACATAAAATACTTCCTTCTTTGGGTCCTTGTTTTTCAAAAAAAAAATTCTTTATTTTGTATGGGTTTTGAATTCCCAGAATTTTTTTAAAAAATTTTACATTCTGGGATTTCAAAACCCAGACAAAAATAAAGAATTTTTGAACTCCTACTCTCCAAGGCAACATTAATCAAACCATTCCTTGTTAAATATGGTGTCATAGCAACATTAACCAATCGTTAAACTGTAAAAAACAATTATTATTAAAATAAAATCATATAAAACTAAAAACCTGCACATCATTGATTGGAACATATCCTTTCCATGAATATCCAGGAAAACTTGATTCTTGATAATCAAATCTTACAGCATCACCGTCTTTTGTTTTACCATCTTCAACTTCTGATTTGATATGCCATAGAGTTGAAAAATAAAAATTGGCAGCTGGCCTAATCAATTAAATTTAAAAAGTTTAAAAACATTCAACTTGGTAATCAAACTGAAGAACCAAGATAACAAAAGTTTAAGATTTTAAAACATAATTTCAAATAATTACAAAATATGCAAATTACTCTATCAGTAGTTAATACTATTATTTATTAATAACTTATTTTAATTATTTAAATAATGACTTATTCTCCTGGTAGAATACTTGTAGAAATTGTCATATTTCCTAATGATTCCTACATTGATAAAACTACCAGTAGAAAAACAAAATCAGTATTTTAGTAATTTTAAAAAAATTGTAATTAATGTTTTTTTTTTAGGAGATTTTGAAAAATTTCAAAAATAAAAGATCAATACTCTAAATGTCATAATGAAAATACTCTAAATGTCATAGTGTAAATACTCTAAATGTCATAGTGTGAATAGTTCTTTGGCATTTTTCTCTCAACTTTCAGTTGTTTCCTTCAATAGATTTCAGTTTATTATGTAAAATTACTAAGATTAAGAACAATTTGAAAATCAAAAAGTTGGTTTTGGAGTAGTCTTCATAGTGCCTATACAAAAAGGGGAGGAGGAGGTATATATTATTTTAAAAATACAATATCACACATTCTTTAAAGTTTCCGAACATCAACAGGTGGTATTATTATATAATCAAGATTTATTATTAAGTAGCTCGAGTGTCAAGGGGTCATTACATACTATAAAAATAGTACATACAGAGGGTCTTTTTTTCTGTTTTTATATCACTGCATGATATAAAAACAGAAAATCCATTATAAAATAACTGAACTACTAATGATAAATTTATTATACCTGTCACACTTTTGCCCAACAATGTTTGACTTGCAAAAGCATTGTCCATTTAGACAGTTTGAATTCAATGAACCTCCTTCATCACAATCACAGCCTTAAAAAAATAGACACTATTTTTATGCTAAGTGTTTGCTTTGTGGTTGCCATCAATAATTAAAAACAAATTTATTTATGTTTTAAGAAAAAATGTTTAAAAAAAAATTATTGAACTAAAACTTTACCTTCACATCCAAAAAAGTTTTTTTCTTCAAGTTTATAGTAACCAGGTAAACAATTTTTACATTTATTACCATCAACAAACACTTTGCAAGCACAATTACCATTGGCAGAGCATGAAGTTATCCCATTGTTTGTGCCAGGTTGGAAACATCCACAAGCTAATTATATAACAAGCTTTATATCAAATTTTATATAGTTAACAATAAAAAAAGCATTTTATTATAATTACATGGTGTAAATAAAAAAACAAAAAAAACAATTACATTCACACCCAAGATCATCTGATTCTTGTAAATTGAAAAAACCTGCTTTACATTCTGAGCATTCTAAGCCTTGTACGTTTTTCTTGCAAACACATTGGCCCTAAAGTTTGTATTATAAAAAAATATTACTTAATAACCAATATAAATAACTTTTATGAAAACGAATTATTCACTATAGCTATAAAAAATTTTGTTATTTACATTATTATTATGTGAAATAATTTTTTTTAAATTAATAACTTGTTTAAAAAATATAATTTTAATTCTTCTTTTATTTTAATTTTATTTTTCTTAACATATATAACTTAAATAAATATAAAAAACATATATACATATAAAATACTATATACTATTTACTATATACTAACATATATAAAATATACTAACATATATTAAATGTATAAATATATTTATTATTTACATATATTATACATAGATAAACGTATGCTAAACTAACTTACATCATTGTTAGTACTGCAATCTCCTGACCAACCTTCTTGCCCAGAATCAGTTCCAGCCGGATTACAATTGCATTGCTTGCAGAATGGAAAACCATAAAAACCTCTTGTGCATTTGTTACACTGTCGACTAGTATATGTAGTTTTACAATTACAATCCCCTGTTACTTCATTGCAAACAGTTGAACGAGCTCCTTCAATACTACAGTTACAGGGTGCGCATGAAGGATAACCATAAAACCCAGGTGCACAGCGATCACATTTTAAACCAGCAAAGTTTGGTCTGCATGCACATTCGCCACTATCAATATCACAAACAGGTGTTTGGGAACCAGCAACAGAGCATTCACAATCTTAGAAAAAATAAAGCGAATATATTAATATGAAGCTTAAAATAAATAAAAAGAATTAAGATGAAAATAGAAGTGTATAAAAGAATTTAAGAATTAAAAAAAACTAAATTTTTACAGAAAAAATGAAGTACAGAACAAAATTGAAGAATAAAAGTGAAATAAGAAATTATATATGATTATTATATATATTATATTATAATCATATATAAATTATATATGATTATTATATATATTATATATATATGATTATTATATATATTATATATATATGATTATAGGCTGAGAAATGATCTGCAAACAATAAGTTTAAAAAATTTTTAGAGTAAATAATTAGAGTAGTTTTAAAAAGAAATAATTTTAGAAAATTATGCAAATTATGAGATATTTTTTTTATAATATGCATAATTAGGCGTATTATAAAAATTATGCATATATAACATTGTAAATATAATACAAATGTAACTAAAAATGTAAAAAATATAACTATAAATATATCTATAATAAAATATAACTATAAAAAATAAAACTATAAATGAAAACAGCAGGCGGTAACACTCTCATTTGTATAATAACTATACATATATGGATGATGGATTATAGATATATATGGATGATGGATTATACATATACAGATATACAGATGATGGATTGAGCGAATAAGACTTAATAGTTTTAAGGTTGGATTCTTTCCTAATTTGCTTCTAGAAATCACCTTGATTAATATAACTTTAAATTATTGTTACAAAAAATTTAAGAATAGTAATAAATAATGGAAACATATAAAGAAGTAAATAATGTAAATAATCCAAAATAAAGAAAAAAGAGGAAAATTGATTGCACAAAATAAACACTAAAAGTATATGGAAGAGTGACCTACATAAAATTTGTCTTAATGAACACCACATACTATGAATATTTATGCCACGTACTAAGCAGTATGTATGCCACATACTATGTAGAATACAGAATTTTTAATGATAAAAAAATATTCAAAACTTAGGTAAAAAAATTTCATTTAAGTGAAATTCTATTACCTAAACTTAACTAAATGAAACTTATAAAACTTAAAAGATTTACTAAAACAAGCTGGATGCCCATAGAACATAGGAGCACAAGTTTCACATTTTTCACCATCATACCCTGGTTTACAGTCACATTTTCCATTACCAGGTGCACAAACTGTGTCTAGAGTTTTTGCAACATCACAACCACATTCTAAATAAAAAAATTTTGTAGAATTAATTATATCTAAACTATTATTAAGAAAAAAGTCTAAAAAGTAGAATACTTATGATCAACTAAAAAAAGACTAAATGAGTATTTAGTTAAATTACATTTATATTTTGGAGTTAACTTGTTTATCTCCTTAATATTTGTTATTTTTTATGAAATTTAATTAAAAAAATAATAATAATAATTTTAATATTTTTGATAAATTTTGATCTAGTGAAAAAATATTTCTTTATTTTTTATTTTTAAAATGTCTGCTTCAAAAGGCGCAAATATAAATTTGATTGCAGCTATAGCAATAACAAACATTACCATGGAAACTCACAAAAGATCATTTAATGCAGATTCTTATAAAGGGTAGATGTTGGTTATGCTTCACCGGTGGGTCACATCCGAGTGGGCAGGGTTGGCATTAAAAAACCCGCCCAATAAAACCCAAAAAAACCTGCCTAAAAAAACCCAATAAAACCCTGGAAAATCTGGGTTTTATTGGGTTTTTTTAAAGATATTTAATAAGTTTATGAACTATTATAACCAACTTTAACATTATAACTATAATATTATTTACTAAAATAATTATTAACTATTTTTATTAACTTAATTATTATTAACTATTATTATTAACTATTATAACCAACAATAACAGCTATCAGAGCAGGTTTACTATTATTTGAATCATTATTTGGAAATACATTATTACAATTTTTATTCAAATATTTTTATCGATTGAGATTTTTATTACATAATGTTGTTCACCTCCCAAGTTGAATTTAAATGAGTAGTAGTGACCAGAGAAGCCAACACAACAGTCGAGGAGGCTACCTTGTTGTGGTTACAACCCTCTCTCAACTCTTTTGCGGTAGTGGTGTTGTGGTAGAGCGCTCAATTCATAAGTGAGTGGGTCCGAGTTTGATCCCCACCACGTCCCTAGCAGTACCGCGCTCAACTCCTTTCTCCGCGCAGCGGCCTTGTTCGTCAAGGTTCATGTTTCGGAGTTATAGAGTTGAGAGAGGGTTATAACCACAAATAAGTAGCCTCCTCGCCTGTAGTGACCATAAGCTTTGAGGAGGTGAATTGATTTAAAGAAGAAAAAAAACTCTTTAACTCCTAAACACGAATCTTTATAAACAAGGCCGCTGCGCAGAGGAACAAGTTTGTTCATTTGAATTTCAAGTTCAAAGTTTAATTGAAACTTCAGTTACTACCTCCCATTCTCAAGCCTTCTTTTTCACATTTTCTCATTGACATTTTTAATTATATAAAATAATACTTTTAAATTTAAAATAAATCAATACATATAGATTAAGCGTGAAATTTTTTTTTCCTATTACAGTTTTAAATTATATTTAAAAATCTTTTTCAAAATAATTTGAAAAATTCTTGTTATAAATAATTAAACAACAATATATTAAATATATTTTAAATAAAGTTAAAGTAGAAAAAAACTAATTTTCAATATCAATAAACAAAAACACAAAAATTTTTTTTACAGAGACAAAATAAAAATTATACCCAAAAAAAACCCAAATTTACCCAATAAAACCCAATAAAACCCAAAAAAAACCACTGGGCCGGGTTTTTTTAAAAAAACCCGGGTTTTTGCCAACCCTGCGAGTGGGTCACATGGGATTGTGTTTTTTTTTTGTGTGTGTGAAAAATTTATTTGAGAAATGAGATGAAAAATAAATGAAACACAAATAATTTATTAACATAAAAAATGTAAAGATTTAAATTAAATTTAAACAATGTCATTAAAAACAATTGCTAACGGTTTTCTTGTAACTGTTTTCTTGCAACTTTTGTGGAAGTGAGTTTGTTAAAATAAAGCTATTTATGATTGTGGAACAAAAAATGTAGTATTTGAAAAGAATTGGTACTGCAGCAAAAAATAAAATAATAGGAGGTTGTGTTGTACTGCTCATACTTACTACAACATACTCAACATACTACAAAGTATTATACAATGAAAATAAATATGTAAAATATGCCCAAGTTAGTGTTTAACTGATCATTACAATGATTTTTAATGACATTGTTTAAATTCAATTTAAATCTTTACATATTATTGTTAATAAATTATTTGTGTTTCATTTATTATTCATCTCATTTCTCAAATAAATTTTTCACAAACAAAAAAAAAAGAAACCACAATGCCTTTTTCATCACGTTTTTATTCTATAAATAGTATATTATTATTTATTAAAAATCAACTCATATGGCTACCTTGGCCAACTTAGGAACCAACCTTTAATTACAATGTAAATAAAGGCAACAAAATTAAAAATTCAAAGAACTTTGTTCTGAGAATCTATATTATAAACGTTTCTTAATTACAACTTTCATGTTCTCAATTAAATCTTAAGATTTCTTATTTTTAACTTTCATCTTCTCAATTACATCTTACAATTTCTTATTTACAACTTTCAAGTTCTCAATTACATCTTGAAAAGATGTAAAGCATATAATTATATCATAAGCAAATAGAACCACCTATTTTCTCATGATAAAATTAAGCAAATAGAACCATCTATTTTCCCATGATAAAATTAAGCAAATAGAACCATCTTTTTTCCAATGATAAAATTAAGCAAATAGAACCATCCATTTTCCCATGATAAAATTAAGCAAATAGAACCATCTATTTTCCCAATGTAAATGAACCATCTATTTTCCCAACAGTAATCTTGGAAAATATAAGTTATAACTTTTGATTATCATTAAAACAGTATAAACAACAAAGTACAAACCTTTACAGTAGGGAAATAAGTAAAAGCCTGAATCACATTTTTCACATGATCTTCCAGAAAAACCAAACTTGCATTTACATTGACCACTTGTTCTATTACAATTGCCATCTACTGCTCCAAACCGTGTAATACAGTTGCAAGCTATAAAATTAGAAACAATTTAAAAAATTATTTCTATATAAAAACTTGTTATGAGATTTGTTATGAGACACAACAGAGCAACATATACAAAATGTCATAAACCAACTAAATTTTTTTTATTATTTTTTATTGTATCATTTATGTTTTATATTACACATTTGTTTTTTCTCTATATAAGTGGGAAAAGAACTTTTTTTTTTTTCAACATACATCTTTATTTTAGGTAACTTCAATAATGGAAGGATTATAACTTTCTTAACCAAGTTAAAAATACTCCATTTAATTTTATTACTTTAATATTGACATGTGTCATTTTTACTAATATATTTTTACTGTTCGGTTTTGGATTTTATTGTTTTATAAATCACGCATGGCTCTAAATTTGCGGTGCTTTGTTCAGGTTTCCATAATGCCAGTTTCTTATTTATTTAGCTTATTTAAAAAAAAACTTTATTTAGATTATTTATTGTGATTTAATGTTGTAACAAATTTAATCTTGTAACAAATTTAATCTTGAAATAAATTTAATCTTGTAATAAATTTAATCTTGTAATAAATTTAATCTTGTAATAAATTAATCTTGTAATAAATTTAATCTTGTAATAAATTTAATCTTGTAATAAATTTAATCTTGTAATAAATTTAATCTTGTAATAAACATGTAAAATTAAAAAAATTGCTATTATTTTTCAACCACTGGCATTTTTTTAAATATCATATGGCCGCACTTGCAAAAATTATTTTTAAATTGTTTATAATTTAATTACTTGATGTATAAAAGTTAAATGTTAGAACACTTTTTAAGCACATTTCTTTTGTTTACAAAATAAAAGTTTGTGAGAGTAGTCCTGAAATATATCAATCAGATAATTTCAGGACTACTCTCACAAACTGATTAACTTTTAAACAAAATGGTCAACTTTTAAATTAAACTTCCATGTTTAAATATATAAATGGTTGAAATTCGATTCACAAAGTTTTTAGCTAAAGTAAGTTTAAGACCACTGCAAACAATAAACTTAAAGTCAACTTTCTTAAATTTAAGTCAAATTTCTTCAGTAAATAGCCCATAAAAACCAAAACATAAAAGGCTCATACAAGAGTTTCTCAAGGTGTTTAGGGTCAACATGTCCACACACTTAGAACAAGAAGGTTTATCTTTTTAATTTCAATTATATAAATAAATTTATATATATCTTAAATTCAAAGAACAAAACTATATAATTTACTTTTGTGTAGTAACCATGGAAATAGGTATTTCATCATTATCGTATAGAACTTTTATCCATATTGATAAAGTTTAGAATGACTAATAATTTATATGATTGATACTTAATAATTGTTTTATTTATAATTATATGATAATATATATGCTAATATTATTATATATGCAGTATATCAAGATGATAGCCATCCAAATGGCAATTGGACTGGCTATCACCTTGATATCCTAAAATTCCAAAAAGTCAATGACCTTTTTTTTTAAGTAATAATACAATATCAATAAAAATTTCCAATATTTAGTATAACAATAACAATAAATATTCCTATATATAACAATAAATATTCCTAACACCGCAAAAATGTGGTAAAAAATATATAATAACAATAAATATTCCTAATATTGCAAAAACGCGGTAAAAAATATATTCCTGGCTAACACCCTGTATATGCAACAGTATTTATTGGTATTTATCCAACTTTACCAAGTAAAATATAATCATAAAACAAATAAAATATTAAATGGAATAAAAATAAAATTTATTATAAAAAAATCTCACGCTGACAGCTAGGAAAACCAAAATAGCCGGGCAAACATTCATCACAAAACTTGCCACCAAATCCACGCTTACATTGACAACCAGTCTCTGGATTTAAAGCACATTGGCCATCTAGTGATCCTTTGACATTGCACTCACAAGCTAAAAATATCAAAAAATAAATTTATATGATAAAAATTGTGTAATGTTATTGTAACAAAGGTACAAATTAATTTTGCCAAAACAAGTACTCTGCATTAAAAAAATTTACATTCAACTACTCTAAAAAATTACAGTTTAACTACTCTAAAAAACCAATAAAATTTCAATAATTCTTTTTACATACATTTAAATATTTAAATTTATGCTGGTTTTAAAATTGAATATTTTTTTTACTATTTTAAATTTTCTATTGACAATTGTTGTTATCACAAGCAGTAATTTATTTATTTACCAAAACATAAACTTTCTTTTGCAACTTTTGAAGGAGATTAAAATAAACTAAATTTTAAAAAAAACGAAGCTTTTGTGTTATATTGTATGTTTTTCTTGCAAAAGAACTATATTATAATATGTTACACTCTAATACAGAATTATGATCAAAAGACCCAATCACTTCTAGATTATTTTTTTATTTAGTGCTACTGTTATCTTGTTTATGAGAATTCAAATGCAAATTAAAGTTTACCACATATAACTAATAAACCTACTATTAGGAAAGTTAAAGAATTACTTATACTTATTAAGAAAATATTTGCACTGCAAAACAATAATAAAGCAACTGCACAAGAAGTTGAAAACCATGTTACAGAATGAGGCTTGACTTGAAACACACTAGAAGGAACAAAAATTTCCATACCTGCCTGGATCCAAAAGGTTACATAAGAGTCACATTTATGCGCCTCTTATAAAATCTTCTAATATTCTAATAAATAGATGAGTCCTATTCCTAATATACAGACGGGTCCCTAATATTCTAAAAAAAAATCTTTAAAAACATATATTGGTTCTCAAAAGAAGGGAAATTAATTTAAAAACTTTGGCATATAAAATTTGCTAAATGGTCACACATGAGCAGTGAACGCCTGAGGGAAAAAATGAAGGACATTAGAGTAAAGGATAATTATTTTTTTAACAAAGCATATTTTGACAGTTGTCAAGTCAAAAATTAAGATTAATAGAAGAATATTTAAAAATAAATAAGACAGACAATGCACCTAAAACAGTACTTAACAATAAAATTAAAAAAAAATTATTTTATAAACACTAATATGAACGAAGATATACAATATATCACCAAACAAAAAACTTATAAAACAAAAAATTTATTACAAAATAAAAATGCTAATGCTAATGCTTAACAATGAAAGGCCTAAGAATGGAAAAAAAATATTAATGCTAATGTGTAAACATAATTTTTGTAGTGATAAAGCAAAAAACATCTCCTCAGAGTCATGTCTATTATTACTGGCGTTTCGATGAGGATCAGCACTTATAGCTAGTTAATCCCGTCAGACAAACGCCATTTATGCTTTACCCCGCGACTTATGCCAATTCCATACTGTAGTAAATAAAGGACTCACTATAAATAGCCAAAACCCAACCATCCCCAAATTTGTAAAGCACCAATAATTTTTTGGTGATATGATATCAAAAGTGTAGATTTATTTAAGAAATAAAAATAACTAAATAAATGACTTACCATACCACCAAAAGAAAACATGAAAACACAATAAATTAAATTTCTAATAGAAACACAAAAATACTAATAAATTTATTTTAAGACATATAAAACCAAATAGATACTTTTAGCATAAACAAACCCAAAACAATCAGAAAGATTAAAAAAAAATTTTAAATCAACAAAACAACAACAGTCTTCTATAAACCCATTGTCATAGATACCTCATTCGAAATATGATAACCAATAAAAAGTGGAAGAAAATGAGCAACCCACGCAACTCAAAATCACAACAACAACTAAATAATCAATGGTAGCGAAAAAAAAACATTACACAAAAACCATTAAAAATGTCACCCGCATAAATATAAACATGCAGTGAAGGGTATAAAAAAATTTTTTTTTCTCAATAATAATAAAAGATTGTGCATGTGAAAATTAAAAAAAGGCTGAGTAATAAATGCAAGATGATATAACATAAAAATTCCTTGTTAGCAGTGATAATATGAAAATCAGCAGATAAATAATATATCAATAAATATTGTAATAAGACTAAATACTGTAATAAAACCAGATAAATTTAAGTCAAATGAGTGGTTAAAAATTTGTTTTGGGTGATATAAAAATGATATAAGTCCTATTCCTAATATACAGACAGGTCCCTAATATTCTCAAAAAAAATTTCTTTAAAAACATATCATGTTGGTTCTCAAAAAAAGGAAAATTTATTTAAAAACTTTAGAAAAAAATTTTAGAAGTATTTTACTAGTAGGTATTAAGTAGGTATTACATCCAAAATCATTTTTTAAAAAGATTACTAGTTTAAATTCTATGGCTCAAAAACTGATATCTAGGTAAAACTTCTTGCCACCTCAAAACACGAATGATTGAACAAGGAGAGACAAAAACTCACACATTTACAAACACCTTTATAATTGTTTCTTTCACATAAATATGAAAAAAATAAAAAGATATTGAATGGGATAAAGCAAAAACACTTAAAGCGGAGGCTAAAAATTTGATAGAAAAGCCTGTGAAGCCTTGGAGATACAAAACATCAATGTTCTTTAATGTATGGTGGTATAAATTTAGACAATATGTTAAAACAAACTTTTGGACTTCATTTTTTTCATATTTACGTAAAAGAAACCATTATAAAGGTGAAGTGAAACATTTACATATATATATATATATATATATATATATATATATATATATATATATATATATATATATATATATATATATATATATATATATATATATATATATGTATATATATATATATATATATATATATATATATATATACATATACATATATATACATATACATATATATATATATATATATATATATATATATATATATATATATATATATATATATATATATATATATATATATCAGTGAAGAACCCAGACGTGTTTTAGTACCATTTTACCGGTATGGGCACTTTTATTTATAAAAGCGCTTAAAAATTATCTTTATTTTTAATTTTTCTTTTGATTTTTTATAAAAAATAGAAAAAAAAATTTAGTTTCAAATGCAGTAGAATATAAATAATTCTCAGTTTAATTTGTTTAATAATTAAGTGTTTAATTCTCAGTTTAAATTTAGCTACCTCATTTTTTCTTCAGGAAAATAAAAAGAATTAAAAAGAAATTGCTATTTTACATAACTACGTGAGTAATTTGCCTTCGGTTATTAAAACTGGACATAACTTTTAAAAAAAATGAAAGTCGTTATGAAACTTAATTTTGAAACCACGTTGCAAAATTTTATAACTATCGAATGCATATAAGATTTGCTTTTTTGAAAGTTAAAGTATTTTTAAATATCCATTAAGTGTAAGATTAATTTTTATTTTTGGCAATTATGAGTAAACTGCTTTTAATAATAAATGAATGAAAGTAAAAAAATCAGTCCTTATAAGTATCTCGCAAATTTAATTTTTAAATGAATGAACTTTTGAACTTTAGCTTGCTATTTTAGTTTACGTAAGGAAAAGGAAAAAACGAAGTATAATCTTTTTCAGACAGTTTTTTTTCCTTTCAATATTCTTTTTAAAATAATAAAAAAAAAGGTTTTAATATCTTAATAAAAATTTTATTTAGATCTTTTTAAAATAACCCATAGTAAATGTAATTTATTTATTAAAATGTAACTTTTTAAATTATTCTTAATAATTAAAAATATATTTTGTTTTAAATGTTTTTAAAAATATAATATGGTTTTAATCAAAATTATAAAAAAATTTTAAATTATGTTTACTGTAACTATCTCTTTAATTATCTTTAATTTAAAAGGCGCCTAAACATCACTTTAAAAATTATAACCTTCAGTAAAAGTTAAATGAACAATTTTACTAATATTTAAATCAAAATTTTAAATTTTAAATAATTGAAAATAAGTTTATTAAATGCTTATGTTTTTATTTGAATAGTTTATTAAATACGTTTATTAAATGCTTATCGAATTTGTTTATTAAATGCTTATGTTTTTAATTTAAATACAAGTAAATATATATGTAAATATATATATATATATATATATATATATATATATATATATATATATATATATATATATATATATATATATATATATATATATATATATATATATATAAGTTGAGAAAATATAAATCTTACGTATGCATTTAGGGTATGAGTGGAAACCATTGTTACACTCTTTACAAAATCTTCCAGTGTACTGTGGCTTACATTCACATTGCCCCGTTCCTTCTGCACATAATCCAGTTGAGAACTGCGTATCACAGTTGCAAGCTGATAATAAAAGATTGCTTTTATAAAAGTGTCTTAAAAAAAAAAAATTTTTTAATAATACTCCAGTATAACACTTGTCACTAACCTTGACAAGTGTTTACATCCGTTACTTTAACACCAGATGGTCGATAGAAAAATGGCTTGCACTTTTCACAATTAATTCCGTCTGTATTATGCTGACAATTTTTACATACCCCACCACCAGAATAAACTCCATTGATATCAAGACTAAGTTTTCTTTGTTCTATATCTTCATTATACTCACATTCCTCTGTGTGTTCATGACAATTGCATTCTAAAAAAGTTTGTTTAATATTATTTAATACACAATTACACATCAAATATTTAAAATTAATATTTAAGAAAAACTTAATTATTATATATTACATATAGCTTTTTATGTATTTTTTATGTATTTAAAAAAAAAAATTATTATTATTATTATTTACTTTCACAAACAAAATCATCTTTATCTCTACGAGTGCGCCATTTTTTTTGAACGAAACCAGGCTTACATTTTTCACAACGAGGACCATATGAATTGTATTGACAATCACATTTATATTGACCAATCACATCAGTTGGTCGACATTCATCACTAAATCCATTACACATACACCTCCCACCAATTGAAATATCTTTAATTGAGTAGTAGTACTAAGTAATGAAATCAAACATAAATAATAATCTTCAGATTAATCTATTAATAATAACAGATTAATGTAAAGATTATTATTTAATACACATGAATAAGCTTATTTTTTTAAAGGGCTTTTGTAGTTAATTTTTTTGATAATATTAAAAATCTATCAAATCTTAAAGGGCCTTCAACAATCCCTGATATTTTTTTTATAAGCTAATATTTGAAATCTGGTATCATTTTATTATACAGAAAACATTTGATGGGAACAAACTTTTTTTTTTTCAAATGTTATTTTATGAACCACCCTAGTATAAGTTATATATAATATATGTAATATTTTTCATATTATATATAATAAGCTCCATAATCAAAGCTTAAAGCTACTTGCTACCTGTCTGTAGTGATATGGCAGGCCTTGCGATAAAGCGTCGGGCAATGTGAATTTTACGTCGTCCAAGAGCGATTTTGAGTGTAGCTAGGGCTATTTGCGTCGAGCAAAAAAAATTTTGTTAGAGTATATTTAAAGATATTTTTGAGCGGAATTTTAATGAAGTAATTTACGATTATTTTAACATTTATTAAAGTATTTTAAAAACCGCATGTTGATATAAAAGTTTTAATTACAAAAAAATTAAATATGCTCATTATTTACAAGTAGAAAAAATTCAGATTAAAAAAAAAGGTTAAATTTTTTTAAGCTAACATTTTAATAAAATTATTCAGCAATAGCAAAGTTGTCGATAAAATTGAACAAAAATACTTTCTTTTAGTTTTAGATTTTTAGCTTAAATAATTATTTTACGGGGGTTTGTTAGGTTTTAAAATTATTCCATAGATTTAATAATATTTATATTTAAGAGTAATTTCGAGGAAACATTTTAAAAACTGGTAAGCGCAAATAAAAAAAAATAAAAGGATTAATATTAAAACATATTCTACTTGATTTAATAAAAAAGTAGAGTTATTAAAATTTTTGTAAAAAGTAACTTGAAAAAAATTACTTAAATAATAACAATTGCTTTTTTGTTAAAAGTTGCCGAAACTCAACGAAGCGTGCTTAAGAACAGCTGCAGAAAAATAGAACGTCAATAGTTTTTCGAATAATTTTTAATAATAATTTTTAAGAATAATTTTTTCGCTGAAATATGTCTTTTATACCTATAAGATTTTTATTCTAACATTTTATTTTACCAAAAATAAAATTCCTTGTAAACATTAAAAACCTATTCAAAACCGATAACCGATAACCGATATTATGAAAATAAATAAAAATAAATAAATAAAAAAATATTATATAAAATCGCTAGTAAAAATATTAGCTATTGCACAGTTTTTAATCGTACAATATTAAAATTTCCAGTTTATTAATTGCTGACTTTTTAAAAAGAAAAAATTATTATTTAAAAAACTTTAAATTGCATATTTGAGAAAATCAAATATTAGCATATTTTATAATCTTTTTTAAATGTTTAGTTATGTTTTTTATTCGTTTAGTAGACAAAACGCGTCAAATGTAGAGAAAACAAACCAATGTTTTTACATTTTAAAAAACGAAACATTTTAAAACATTTTTAAATAATAAAATTTCTACATTAATGATTTAAAGTAGTTTTGCGGTAATTAAGTAAATTGGTGCAGTTAATGTCGATAAATATGAAAAGCAAGTAAAAAGAATTTAATGTCAAAAATCACGTCGTGCTTATGCGTCGCGCAGTTTTTATTCCTCACAAGGCCTGATATGGTATATATAAAATAAAATTTATTGTAATATATAAAATAAAACAAAGTTTAAACCCTTCGAGTAACAGTTGGATCTTGCAAAGAAAGCGGTAGTAAATCATCAAGAAGTGTTTTAATATCCATGAAACGAAAACGAATGTTGGAAGCACTAGTCCATTCCTATAAAAGTAATATGTTAATAACTTAATAATATGTTAACTATTAAAACAACAGAAATAATTGAAACAATTAATAAAATTAATATGTTAACTATCAAAACAACAGAAATAATTGAAACAATAAAAGTAATATGTTAACTATTAAAACAACAGAAATAATTGAAACAATAAAATTATAATTATTTTTTACTATTTAAGACTAAATAACTATTTTATTACATTTCTTATTGGTTTCTATTTGTAACTTATTATTTTCAATAATTGTTCTTTAATTTACCATATAGTTCACTCTTTGTTCTGTAATTTACTTTAAAGTTTTTTTTATACCATTGAACAACATACTTATTTTTAATTATATATAATATTAAAAAATAACAACAACAAATTATGTTTCAAACTACATATAAACATACTTTAAAATATCCAATACACAATTATGGGGAATATATGTGATGTAACATTAACATCATCCAGAAATATAGAAGGACAAGCCTCTCAAAGGACACAAAAATTACAAAAAGTAGTAGCTAGTTGCTTTGCAGGGCAACCAGACGATTATTAGTTACGAAATGTTTATTAATAAAGATATTTATTAATAATTAATAAGAGTGTTTTTTTTATGGCAAATGGGCATTTAATTTTTTTCTTCTAATAAACACAACTATTGATAGAAATGGACATAAGCCTAATGTTACACTAATAATATTGAAATCCTGAAATTATCAATTATTAAATTTTGTATTATATACCAAAACGGTATTAATTGAACTTACCTGAAGTGTTTTGCTGTATGAAAAATTTGAAGCACCTGGTCTTCCATTAATTAAGGATATATGAATCTGTAAAAAAAATATTTAGTTTTCTTACAGCCTATTATCCTCAATGTATACACATTATTAAATTATACAAAGCTTAAACTAACACATTTGGATATATTAAAAAAGGAGATATATGCATATATATATATATATATATATATATATATATATATATATATATATATATATATATATATATATATATATATATATATATATATATATATATATATATATATATATATATATATATAATTATGATTATAAAAATTTTTTTTAATTGTTAAAACTTTCCCATATTTTGGATACGCTTGTTATATTAAATTTCACTTCATATAGTATTTTGATTGCAAAATTATATTTTAAGGAAGTACCTAAGGTTCTACAAAAACCACATGGTTGGGACCCCCAAAACCACATGAGTTATTTTAGTTTTTAAAAAAATCTATGTGATATTACAAAAAATCAAAAATCAGAGTAGATTTGTAGTAGTTGTATCAAGCTTTTTGATGATAAAAAATTTATAAAGAGATTTTATTTATATTCTTGCTATATATATTTTTAGGCAAATAAACAGGTATGAATAACATCAATAAAAAAAATTCAAAATACGCTTGCAAATGAAGTCACTAAATCTAAGTTCTAATGCTGAAGCACTTATAAAGAGAAAATCAACATTAGAAAAAAACAAACAACTTGAAGTTGCTGTTCAATGGTGTAAAGAAAATAATGTAAGAGGGCATGCTGCAACTAAAACAAGACAATTCCCACTAATTAAAGATCGTAAAACAATAATTCGTAGACTTGATAGGAAAATAGTTAATGGTCTTGAAAGACAGCACTGTACAATTCTCTTGGAGACAGAAGAGATGCCAATTGTTTCATACATTAAAAATAAAAATCAAGCAATGCAAGGCATAAACAAAGCAGAACAAACAAAACTTGTCCTTGATGTTCTGAAAGTTAGACAATACACAAATACAAGTTTGAAAGGTGAGAAAATTTGCAGCATTATCAGCAAATGCAAAAAATGCTCTGACAAAAACAACTATTTTTGTTTGTTATATATATTTTTAAAAGGTAGTAAAAGATAATACGGTAAGATAAGGTTGTTTGTAGTTACAGGAGTTGTAGCTTGTTAGAAATGCTTTTTTGCTTTGTTTTTTATATATTTTTTATTTCAATTGCAGATTAGATAAACCGTTCTGGATGCGCTTTAATGCAAATAATCCAAGCTTAACACTCAAGCGACAAGGAAATGTATCAATAAATAGAGCCCTCAATTGCACAAGAAAAATGGTATGTGTCCACTTTGGTATGAGTAAATATTATGCTTTTGATTAAATTTTATATCACTTTTTTTCATAAACATTTATAACAGAGATTGAAAGGATGACATTGTATCATATTTCTTTGTGATTACAGGAGACCTTTGTGTCTGTCAAGTACTCTTTGGTACTGTTGGAATAACTAATCAAATGGCTCCACTGGAAGCTGTGACAAATATCCAGCGTTTTCTGATAACAACATGCAATTATGGTGTATCGGATCATAATTCATTATTAGATATGTATAAAGAATTTGATGAATATCTTATTGAAAAAAGTGGCATGGCCAGTAGTTTTGCTTTCTGATAGGCATTGTTCACGCTTTAATTTCGCTGTCTTAAAGTTTTTGCAATCAAAATACATACGTATGTTCCTAACTCCACCAGATACCACTGGTGTGACACAGCTTTTAGACTAACTCAACAAAAACCTTCATCATGAGTATCGTAGTATAAAAGAAAACATTTTTACTGATTTCAACTAAGTAAAGAAGCTTTTATGATGATTTTAGGACGTATTTGGAACAAATGGGCCCCTAAACAATCTATAGTCAAAGCTGCAAGACATGTGGGCGTAACTTCTACATTATTAAACGTCAATGACATGCAACAGGACAAGTTTGCACAAGCTACTTTATGTATTGATACTTCTAAAAGTGTTTCACCCAGTACAACAACCCCTGAAAGATACATTATTGAATCTCCTAATAGAAGAAAAAATTCAGCTCAGTATTGGAAAAAAAAAATTTAACATTCACGAGAGCTCATTCAAGACCTGAGCAAAAAGATCATTCAATTTAAAGAAATCCCTGGCTTACTGACAGTGCAGAAAGTTAAGCCAAAAATTTCTAAAGTTACTACAAGGGTTACACAGGTTCACGGATCAATTAAAGGAAAAAATGTGCTGGAGTTAGTGAAGGTAATTCAAGTTAATAAAAATCAAGAACTAAAAGATAAAGAAAAAAGAAAATGGAACAAAGAGAAACAAAGAAAAACATTTTTACGGTGTAAAAATGAATGCAACTGCAGAGAAAGTGTGTGTCATGCCATAAAACTACAGCAGTGCTTTTCTTGCCACAATATACAAAGGCCAGTTTGTGGAAAGTTATCATGTAAAGTAGATGGAAAGAAACCAATAATGTTTTTAGCTGCTGCAGTAACCAACAATTCCCTTAAACATAAGGTTATTGAGCATGATGTGATGAAGATACTAGCAGTTAGAAGGATACACCAAGAAAGTGACCTTATAGTTCTTATGAAAGTGATCTTAAAGTTCTTATGGCCATATTACAGATTATGCTCTTTAATTATCCATTATACTTAGTCAATTAGTTGATTAACTTAATTAATAGTCAATAGTTTCAAGGATGTAAAAAAATATTTTTTAACTGTCTTAAAGACAAATAAGTTATATGTAAATTTTTTTTTTACAAACAACTATCTTTACTTGCTTGTTAATAGAAAAATAAATTTTAATTGAAAAAAGAAAAACTCTCTTTTAATATTGAGTTTTTAATCTGTATATATATATATATATATATATATATATATATATATATTTTTTTTTTTTTTTTTTTTTTTAATGGAACCCAGAAATAATTCATTTATTAGTTTTTAGGGCCCGTCTACCTAATAATGATAAGATCAATCATTATTAAATATTTAATATTTTTATTTTAAAAATATTTTATATATTTAATAAATATAAAATTGTTTTTAAAATAAATAACCTCTCCATTCTCGAAGGGAGGAATTGATGAATACTCTGTAGAACAAATTACAGTATCATCACGAACAATTGGTAAATATGGATCAATTCCAAAATAACTTTTACACTCTGAAGAACTTGATGCAAAATGATGCCACGGAGTGTAAGTTTTTCCGCCATCACTTGATCTTTCAAGGGACCAAACACCAGGTCTTGGAGAGTTAGCTGATTTGATAATAACATATGCAACATGAAATAACTAAAACAAAATGATAAAATAATTAAATAAAATAAAATTTTAAAATTAATACAATTAAAAGTATTGATTAATAAGCCAGTGAAATTTAGTAAAATTAGAAAAATAGACGCCTGTGACTAAAACAATTTTTATTTTTGATTGGATGTTTGATTTTTAGGGTTTTTAACGCCATATTTTTGCCAAAAAAAAACAAACTGCGAGTGAATTCGCTACTAAATTTTTGTTAAATATTTGTAAAAGCTTATCAAAACAAATGTGAATATAATAAAAATTCAAGAAAAAGAATGTGCTTTAATTCTTGATGAAATGTCAATAAGTAAAAGTGTTAACTATGATACATATCAAGCTCATACTGTGAAATTGTTAGATTACCTTAACATTATGGCCAAGCTAACCATCCTTTAGTTTTTATGCTTAGACGAATATCTACAAGATGAAAATAAACTGAACATATTTTTATAGTGAAAGTTCTGTTTATAAAGGTGCAAATAACTAGTCAATGTGGAGATCTTTTAGCATAAGCTAACTTTTAAGCTAATAACTTTTTCCAGTTTAAATAAACCTCCACTCAATTTGTTCTATTGATATTTTAGCAAATATGCTTCATTTATTGAAGAATACAAGAACATCTCTCTTATGTAACAAACCTTTCATAATTACAGTTGGAATTCAAAATATATATATACACTTTTATCACAAGTTATAGATTCAAAATTCCTGCGCAAGCTTGTTGACTTTCTAAATATGGATTTGAGTTACAGCTAATAATCATTACAGCTAAGATTAAAAAAAAATTCTTCTATCACTAGTTATAGATTCAAAATTACTGCACAAAATCCTGCACAAAATCAAGTTTTTTTAATACTAAAACATTACATTATCAAAGTGTTGTTATGATATCATAGTATAATGACCATCAATTCTTATTGTGTTTTCTTGACTTAGTTAATAGTAAGGTGCACAATCCACACAAAAAATAGCACATTGTTTTACTCAAAGATTTGGATAAAACATTAAGTTTAATCTTGAGTAATACTGAGCAAAACTGTTTTTTTTATAATGTATTTTAAAGTAATTTTTTAAATATATACTAGTTCTAGTGTTAAAGAAATTTAAAGAACTTTTCTAATTTGTTTTGAATCTCAATATTTAAAAAAATAGAGTAAATGCTGATTATACAATGCTTGTTACATACAAAACAGCCCTATGTGGGAAGTTTATTTTTTGCTAATGAAACAAATTTTGCTTCTTTTTTTTTTAAAGCATTAATAATTAGATTATTTTAGCCATAATTTTTTACCAACAAAAATGGTAATTCTATAAGAGAAAGTCAATTGATAAACAAATTAAAACTGATGAACAAATGAAAAGTTTAGATTTTATACTAATTCTCATTAATTTTAATCAAAGCTTGAAAACAGGTTTAAATAATTCATACCTGTAATATTTAGCCTTAAGAAAAAAAAATGAAGTTAACAAATTATTTTGACTTGGCAGCACAATTATGACAATGCATGCATTGGCTTTAAAAGAATATATTCAACTAAAACTAATTTATGAAAAAATTGTAAAACTTTTGACAGGTCTAAACTTTTGTTAAGTTACTTTTAAATACAATCCATTTTTTGACAGTTTTTTTTAAAGAATTTATTTATTTGCCAAATAAATTTTTGTTTAATAAATAATTTTATTAAAAAACTGCAAAGAAACAAAAAATATTTTTGGTAAAACACAATTTTATTTAAACAAATTTTCGTTTAAAACATTGTGTTTTACAATTGTTTTTACTTAAATTCATTTGTCACCCACTAATTTGGCAAAAACATGGCTGCCGTTTTCCGTATTCCCACTATATGAGTATGTAGGCTATCTAATTTTGAGAAAATTTTGTTTTGAGACACCGAAAAAAATTCCGAGAAATACAGTAAACGGGGGTGAATATGAACAGCGGGGTGAAAATGAACACTAGTACTAGCTTAACTTAATGGTGAAGCAGCACCATTAAGTTAAGCTAGTAATTTTTAATTTTTAGCAAAGTTAAGTTAGTAAATTTTAATTTTTAGCAAAATATAGCTAAAAATTAAAATTTTTTGACTCACTTGCCTTAAAAATAATGTGTGGAAGATAATTTTGGGCTGCCCTTAAAAATTTTTTTTCCCGCCTTTTCTCTATCGCATATAAACAGTACAAGCTACGTGGTTCGTGTTATTAACCCACCTATCAAGGAGTATCTTAAGAACCGCTCATCTAAACGTCATCAAAGTTACCTCAATTTAGGTTCAGGTAAATAATGTTCTAATAAAACAATAATTTAATGTATAACTTGTCTGTATCCGATTATAAGCACATTTGAAAATGACATTTTTTTAACACGATTTTTTATTATATTTTGTTAATTTTTAGAACTTTACCTCGAAATTACAAGAGAAAGGAAAACAGTAGAGCTTATAAAACAAGTTATACAAAAAAAGACTTAGAAATAGCTTTAATTAAAATCAAAAACCAAGGATTTAGCTTCAGGAAAGCTTCAAAAAAGTACAATATTCCATTAGGAACATTACACAAAAAAGTTAAGCTTGGGGATCAAGTTCCGAAAAAAACCGGCGGACAAACCAGACTTGATAGTATAACAGAAAATTTATTTGTCCAAACAATTGTACATATGACTGATTGGAGGGTACCATTTGATTCTTTGGATATAAGACTTTTAGTCAAATCATATTGTGATAAAAGGAGTATAACTGACGCTCGATTCAAAAACAATATGCCTGGGGTAGATTGGGTTCAGTCTTTCATGAAGAGATATAACTTAACAAACAGGGTTGCTGATAATGTTAAGCACAGTTAGATACCCTTAACAAATATTTTGATAATTTGTATAAAGAGTTGAAGGATATACCTCCAGAAAATATCTATAACTATGATGAGACCAATATAACAGACAATAACAATGCCTCCAAATGCGACTCATCTCTGCCAACCATTAGATGTTGCTGTTTTTAGAGGATTAAAGCAGTCGTGGAGGAGTATTCTTTTGAAGTATAGATCAGAAAGTCGTATCAAAGGAGCTATCCCAAAAGAACATTTACCTACGCTTTTAAATAAACTAAATAATACTTTGCGACCAGTAGCTTTGGTTAGCGGATTTAAAGCAACGGGAATCTACCCTATGGACAGAACAGAGGTTATAAAACGTCTTCCAGGAAAATATAAAGATCCTGGTGGTAATGACACCGTTATGGTTCTTAACAAATCTGTTTTAGATATTTTAAAAAACAATCTAGGGTTAGGCACAAATCCAACTACAAAACGCAAACCTTGTGGTCCAAAGGTGGTACCAGGTAAAGGAATTCATTCTTTAGTTGAGTCAATTCCATCAAGTTCAACAGAGCTAAAAAGCAACACAGATAATGATTGGTACTGTACTTTCTGTAACAAAAAATGGGTAGAGTTAAGCGACGACGTGTGGGTTCAATGCGACAAATGCAGTAAACCATATCACCTCCAGTGTTGTGGCCTTATTTATGATAAAGATGGTTATTATGAACTCAATATTGAAAATATCTTATACTTTGTATGCAGCATGTGTGAGTCATTTGAAGAATTTGAGGATAGTGATATTTAATGTTCTGTTTTTATGTGGAACAGATTTGTAAATATTGTGATACATGTTAATATATTGAAAAAACTAGTTTTTAAACATAGTATGTTAATTTTTCACATGAACTTAGTTTAAATAAAAATATGTTCTATGTAAAATAAACTTCATGTTATCTGTTTTGATCTTTAACAGTTTTTTCCCCCGTTGTAATAAGGTAATATAGCGATATACTAGAATATAGAAATAATATGTAGTGTTCAAAGTCACCCCAAATTGGCCGTTCATTTTCACCCCGTTTCGGAAATACGTATATGCTCGTATAAAACCAGAAAACTAAGGTATTTACTGCATAGTGTTGATCAGGCTTACGACTAATACAGAAAGCTGAGTAGTATAATGTTCTGTTACAGAAAAAATGGTTGCGATTAGGCCAACAGTTTTCTTTCATGATGCAAAAATGTTCAAAAAGCGTTCATATTCACCCCCGTTTACGGTAGCTTCGAGAATCAAAAAGGGTAAGTTGACGAATTTTGGGCTGTTAAATAAAAACAAACTAAATAAACGGCTTCTAGGAGAATACGAGTGTTAACTTTTAACAGCCAAATCAATTTTAATTTATTTTCTCCCACTTTTTATCTTTCTTCCTAACTGGGTAAAATGGCTAAAAATTTAACTTTAAATTATTTTTTACGCGTAAAAATATTTTGGTTAAAATTTCAAAATATTTTTTACAAACGTAACGCGCGCATAAACGTTTATTCAGGCATTGTACGCGCTAAAGCTGCGTATGAAAAATATTTTTTTAAATCATCATGATGATTTAAAAAAAAAAAATTCAACCGTAATTTTACCTGCAGGAAAAATTTCGGCGCGGATGTAGTAGTCTTTTAGTGTTGTGTCAGGCAATTGGTTTAAACTACTTTTATTAAAATTTTTTTTAGATATCCAAGATAAAGAAGATAATTATTTTTTTGTAAGAAAAAATAACTTTCAACATAATTAAAAGTAGAAACAAAAATCTGATTAAGGGTCTAAAACTGTACTTTTTGTTGAAAACTAAGAAAACTACTTCATTCGATTTGTTTTTGTAAAATTTTGATCAAACCCCATTAAAACAACATTTATTGGTTTATACTTACCCCAAACCAAACCCCTAGTCGATGTAGCAGCACACACCATACTCATATAAAAACCTAAATTTTGTTATTAAAAATTTGTTGAAAAACTGTTTTTTCCGCCCGATTAGTAATTTCATGTTTACTTGACCAATTTTTTTTGTTTCAAACCGGATTTGGAATACATGGTTACGGAAATATCAATATCACGGAGTAAAATTATTGTTGAAATAAAGTTTTTTGGTTAGGTATATAAAAATCAATATCACATTAAACTTGGAATTTTTGACTGTCTCTGCTACTAATCAACCTCTATTGCAAATTAAAAATATTCCACAAATTAAAAATAAATAAGGATGCAGTCTCCGTCAGAAGGTAGCAGATTTTTAAATGTCTGATTTGAAGAAATAAAAAAATTTAAAGATTTTAGTAAAATTATTAGCTTAAACCTAAAGATATTTTAATTAAGTTATGTTTTATATTTTTCTAAACTATAAATAATAAATATTTCTATTGAAAGAAAAAACATAAAAATTTGCTGAAACTTATTTTTCTATAGTTATGACTTAATAATCATCGGACTTGTAAAGAGTTGAAAATTTCAAAATCTAAAGATATAATTTATAATTTATGGTTATAAAAAAAATTAAAGATTTAAAATAATCAAAAACCTGTCCTAAGTCGATTGTTACATTGACTTGCTTGTATTTTAAGGATCTAGATAAAGGAGGTGACTGCCACCATCTATTTGATCCATCATTGGCATTTCTAATATTATGATCTTTTGAATCTTTTCCATCAGAGCTTCCAATATCACCAGGCACACAATGACTACAGCTTAATCCTTTAATTCCAAATTTACCGGGTATTCCTGCTAATGTACAGTAAAGTTCACCTGGTTCTCCTCTAGGAGGAGTGTAGTCTTCGCCACAAGTTGCAGATGCTGTTATTGACTTTCCTTTAGCAATATCAAAATAAGCTGGTTCTAAAACAGTTTGACTAAAAACTACTTCCAGTAGAACAAAAATTAGCAGCATTTCAATTTATTTATCTTTGCAATAATTTATTTTCATTGAAACCTAATATTTTTGCATTTACTTGTTCCCTTAAGTTTATTTTAAACCAATTAATGAAAATAATAATGTTGCGTTGTTAAGTTAAGAAATTTTCACGGGTGTAGAATTTCTTTGACAAACCCTTTGTCATATTGTTTTAAACAGTTGACTTAGTAAAATTTTTTTTTTTAAATAAACAATCAAGTACAAAAGATTATGTCACAAAAATAACATCGGTTACTCCCTTGAAAAGAATTATATAAATAAAATCAAATGAAAAAAATTAAGGTTATTGGCTAACATGTTTTTCCGGTTAAATATTAATTGACGTAGTTACCATTGATTAAAGTTTTTATTTATTTATTAATCTTATATCATTAAGTAAATTTACGTTGAGTCTTTCTTGTTTAATACACCAACTCTATTACTAAATTTATAACTAAAATAAAACAATTTTACATAGAGCAATAAACTTTAATATATTTTTTTTAATTTAATATTGGTCAAACATTTATCATATATTATTAATAAAAACAGATTTAAAATTTTGGTAATAGTTACTTTTGGTTATGATTATAGTAGACATTTATTTTGTATGATTGCCTAACATAGTTTTCACAGATCGTCATTCAAATACGTTTGACCAGGGATAATCTATTCAGGGGGTCTTGTTAACTCAATTTTTGTAAAATACTCCAATGCTTTCTGAAAAGTGAAGACCAAGATAGCAGATAGTAGCTCAGTATAAACACATGGGTTGAAATACTGGTTGGAGTAACATGCTGATGCCCATATATTGGCAATAAAGTTGCATGTAACATGATAATGATGTATGGTACGAAATGGTAGGGTGGTATTAGAAATTACCTCAGAATAGAAAATTTAGCACGTGCGTTCTATCTAGCAGAATGCAACAAGCAGGGGCAATTCTAAAAATAAAATGAGGACGAGGAAGGGGAAGAGGATTTCTTAAAAAGTACGAACTGCTTTCCAAATAAAAGAAAAAAGTTCTCAAAACTAAAAATCACCCAACTGAAATGTGTCAATTACCCGACACTAGCCGACTATATTCCTAAAAAAACCAACTAAAATTTAAAAATTGCATTCTTTTGAGGGTATATTACCCCTCCTAACACACACCCATAGAATCTCCCCTGGCAACAAGAAGAAGATATTTAAAAGAATGGATAGAAAATTTTATGGTTTCTCATAAAATTTGTATGCTTAACACAACTCAAATAAAAACTTAAAATTATCTTTCCACCTAAATTTTTCGTTGCAGTTATACCTTTATTTTGTTTCGTAACTTTTTACTATTAAATTAAAGGCAGAAACTGCTATCATCACATTTTTTGATACTTTTATTTAAAAATCATTTTCTTAGTATTTTTATAATTTGTCTCCAAGTTTAACTTTATGACGATTTATTTTATTAGTTGTTGTTGCCAGGATCTTTATCACTTGATACGTCATTTACATCATTAATATACTGCTCACATGATAATTAATTTAGTCTGCAGCATTTTAACAGACTAGTTAACAAAAGAGTTGCTGTTTCAAATGTTGTATAATCTTTTAAATTAATCTAATTTAATGCAATTTTTTGGCAACATTGCACAACCAGTTTAGCAATACAAAAAATCCATCTTCTTTTTTAGTATCAAAATTTGTTAACATATCCTCCTCAAACATTCTTTTTTTTTCTTGAGGTGATTGGTATAACTTTTTAGCAAACTTAATTTTAAAAAGCTAAAATGTTGCTTTTTGTTACTTGACACGTTTTATGTAAGTACTTTTTATCTGTACTAAGATCTTTGCCATCAACGCTGGATAATTAATCTCCTTCGATTGTTTGAAAACTAATAATTGGCATTGACAAGTCGCAGCTCTCTAATAATTTTTTGATCGCAACACTAAATAAATTAGAGCATGTGTAGAGCTTTATTTCAATAGTTTTATTCGATTCAAATTAATTAGAAACTTTTTCAAAGGTAACTCACATATATATTGTAAACATACAAACTAGTGTAGAGATGTCTTAAAACTTAAGTAGTTGTGTTTTCTTTTAATTGTGGTAAAACTATTGCCGATAAAGAAAGTTTTTATTTGGAAAATGACCATTTTGTTAAATACATTAAAAGATTTGAAAGTTATTTAATTTTCATTCATAAAGGATAAAGTTTAAAAGCAGTTTTTCTTTTAACAATTGGAGGGCTTGCTTATAAGCTTACAAGCAAGAATCGAATTGAGGTTGTTAAGAGATCAGCTAAGGGAGGAAGATTAAAATAACGTTGCTGCTGAAAAAGATTAAAATAGCGTTTTTAGCTTTTCATTGATTAAATATAAAATTTGAGAATACAAATGGGCTAGTTATGATAAATGCAAAAATCAATGGTAGGGAGGTTGGTAAGGAAGTTGAAACAGGGGCTGCTTTTTCCTTAATAATTGTTTTAGCTAATTGAAGAGTGAAAGGGAATGAGGGAAAGCTAAGAAAATTTGAGATGATGTTGAAGACTTATACAGGAAAAATTTTCAGAAATACTAGGGTTTGTTTAAGTAAATTATAATAGACAATTTTTAAATTTTGCTATATCTGTATTTAATGGAAATAAACCTACATTAATGGCAAGAGATTAGACTCTCAGACTAAAGCTAGAATGAATGGAATTGTGTAAAGGAATGCGATGAGTCATCTTTTGCAATAGGGTTGATTTAGGGGAAGGGGCATTAGTGGCGAATGTTCCAGAAATGTTTTGTAATAGTTTAGAATTGTTGAAAAGATACCATATACCTGTATGTGAGCGTGCACAATCAAAGACTTACGCTTTAAAGACTAAGGTTGAACAAGACAATTTGATTGTTTGGAAGATCAAGAGGTTTGAAGAAGGGCCTAGTATTTAAAATTGAAATCTTTACAGTGCCTGTTCTAAAGAATTTACAAGATCCTACTGGTCCATTACGTTTGTATAAATATTATAATATTGCAATAATTCAAGCAGGACCCTAGGTAGTTATCCAATATCAAGCACCAATGATTAGTCACTATTGCAGGAGGACAGAAATAGACCAAGCTTGGCTTGGTGTATTTCTGTCCCAGGCTTATCAGCAACTTGAGTTAGATAAACCTTTACAGGAATTTGTAACAAAAAGTACGCAAAAAGTGTTACATCAACCAACTTGTCCTAAGTTTGGTGTTCATAGTCCAATATGCATCTTTCAAAGAAAGTAAACAGAAAAAAAATGAAAGAAATATGAAAAATATCAAAAAAAAATTTAAAGAGTTTAACAACTGTCTTATTTGTGGGAATACTCGAGTAGACCGAGAGAGAGCATACATATCATGCAGACCCAAAGAATGGGAAAATATTTCTAGTCGTATTGGTAGTTATTTAAAATGGATCAAAGTAGAAGTTATTAGTCGTACTGAAGCAAAAGCAACAATTAAAATACTTAGAAGTTTGTTTGCAACCCATGGCATACTCCGAGTTATTGCCAGCGACAACGAATCTGGGTTCTTCAGTGAAGCATATAAGTAGCTTTTGTATTTAAGTAGTATCAAAAAAATTTATTCTGCATCTTCTCAATCAACATTTAATGGCCTAACAAAACAAATGGTGCAAATATTCAAGAACTTGTTTAAAATACTTCCTAGAAAATAATGTTGAGGCAGTTGTGTCGGTTCCTACTTAAGTATCGTCTAACACAACATTTCACACCTGGAGTTTCTCTTACAGAACATTTATTAGGTATAAGATTAAAAAATCCATCGTCGATGCTGCATTGTGAAATTGACACTAAAATTAATGAAAAAAGTCATAATTATATCAGCAATTGAAAATGTTAGCTAAAAGTGTTAATGTTGGATGTTTGTATCCAGATTAGATTTATAGACCAAATTATAAGACGTTTCGGAAAGACTGTATTTCTACAGGGCGGCCAAAATAAATTTTACGATTTAGAAATTGCCCTATAGCTAAACTGCTTCTTTTTTTTCACGTAGCATAATATACTTTTTATTTACACGTAGCATAATATACTTTTTATTGGGAACCAGTAAATCTGGTTTGCAATAAAAAGTATATTATGCTACGTGTAAATCGGTTTTGTTAAGGTCGTAAACGCTAACAAAAATAATGTTGTTTTTATTGTTGTTTTTGTTGTTGTTGTTGTTGTTGTTGTTGCTGTTGTTGTTGTTGTTATCCAATTATTTTATTTGTGGCAGTGCCATGACTAAACACCCCCACGCCTTAATAATAGGTTATTTTTTGTTTGTTTTTGAAGGGGGGAGGGGAGGAGTACCAACCCACAAGCTACGTCAAAGATTTGAGGTTATTATAATTAATTGTACTTCTTGTCAATTGATTAGTATAATTATAGTACTGTAGCTGTGTTAAAGAAGTCGAATAACACAAGTATTCACACTCGCACAATCAAATCCAATTACCACCAATGAATTGAGACCAATAATCAGTAACAATTGTATTCAAAATAGATACAATGCTAATCTGTATACTTTGTAAAGATTCCAGTAATATTGATACCTTGAACTAACTTTCTTTCGCATGGACATAAGAAAGTTTATGCAAAAGATTGATTCTTATCCCTAAAATGATTCCAAATACTGGACACAAAGTTATCATTGCAAGAAAATGGTTTCTTTATTTGTACAGCTTTAATTTTTTGCGCCATAATCTAACCATAAAAAGACCAAAACAAAGGTATTTTGGAAAATTTCAGCTAACCCCTAATCGTATTGCTGCTCCCAACCGAAACTATCAGTCAATATAGGAGCGCTCTTTTGCGTATTAGCCCTAAATCAGTTAATGTGTGTGTTAAAGCCCCATAAGCCCCTAAACCTATTCTTGCACTTTATTCTCGTATTTTATTTGTTGAAAATTTCCGCTTTTTACATATAAAGTGTGTTTTCATTTACGTAATGTGTTTTCATTTACAGTTTGTAATAAAATCAAAATAATATTTTTTTACTGTAACTTTCTACAGCTTTTGCTTTTTTGTTCTCTTTGAAAATATGTCTTATCATTATAAGCTGGTAAATATCAAAGTAAGAGAAATATTAAACAACAATCGAG